ATGAGGTGTTTGGGGACCAGCTGGAGAACGCTAACATGGTGAGGAGAACTCCTAGGATCCATCATGGTCGGTTGAGGTCTTTGGTATGTGGTTCTACAGAAGATTTGGGGGTGTAGACCGAAAATAACACGAAAAAAAAGTGTAGCAGACAGGGGGGGGCATGTTGGGCAATGGGTCTTGATAGCCTAGCGTAGCGGGGTGTTGGGGCGGCGACACGGTGGGTCTGAGGCTGAAGGATTTGGCAAAGTAATCGGTGTTTTGACTCTCTCATTGGCCGGTTGTTCGTGTGAGGTCTTGTCCATTTCGCACCTGATCTATGTTCGACACGATATCACTTACTTGCCCGGTTCAAGGCCGCCGTGTGTGCCGAATAGCTACAGGTCATAACTCCTGGCCCCTTCTACCACGCCAGCACACCCAGTGTTCGCTGCATCCCTATCTGTGCACATCATCGACGTCAGGGACCCTTCTTATGGAGTCGCAGTGTTGGGAGGAAGGGTCACTTCATGACTGCATGGCTGACCCTCCGATGCCCGGGGTCTTCGGACCTTGTTGAAAACACTTTACCTCCACGGATTCACTCCAACCTCACAGCAGCCCACGAGGTGATACTCTCCTATGCCCATTGTATGGGTGTGGAAACTGAGACTTGGAGAAGGTCAGTGACTCATCCCTGGTCACCAAGTTGGATGGAGCTGCGCTGGGTCCCTGAAGATTCCCTTTGGGCAGTGCTAGATGAATGTGCTGAAACCCAGGGCCCCAAAGTCTCTTGTGTTGGTGGTGGGGAGAGGGAGAGAGAGAGAGAGAGAGAGACAGAGAGAGAGAGAGAGAGAGAAAGAGAGAGAGAGAAAGAAAGGGAGATGGACATGCAGCTGGATCCTGTGACTCCTTGGTTTAGCCCCGATTCCTCTTCAGAACCGGCCAAGCCGGCCAGGGGAGGAGGAGAGCAGGTGGGATTCCAAAGGACAAAGACGTCTCTGGCCCAGCAGCCTCTGCTGAGAAACCAGGTGGGAGACGGAGTCCGCAAAGGGAAATTGAGGCTCTGTGTGTGTGTGTGTGTGTGTGTGTCTGTGTGTGTCTGTGTGTGTGTGTCTGTGTGTGTGTGTGTGTGTGTGTGTGTCTGTGTGTGTGTGTGTGTGTCTGTGTGTGTGTGTGTCTGTGTGATGGAGTCTCCTCTGTCACCCGGGCTGGAGTGCAGTGGTGATACTTCCTGGGCTCAAGCCATCCTCCCACCTCAGCCTCCCAAGCAGCCGGGACTATAGGCACCCACCACCATACATGGTTGGTTTTTGTATTTTGTTTTGAGATGGAGTCTCGCACTGCTACCCAGGCTGGAGTGCAATGGTGTGATCGTGGCTCGCTGCAATCTCCGCCTCCTGGCTTCAAGCAATTCTCCTGCCTTAGCCTCCTGAGTAGCTGGGACTACAGTGCTACCATGCCCACCTAATTTTTTTGTATTTTCTAGTAGAGACGGGGTTTTGCCATGTTGGCCAGGATGGTCTCAATCTCCTGACCTCGTGATCTGCCCGCTTTGGCCTCCCAAAGTGCTGGGATTACAGGCATGAGCCACTGCGCCCGGCCCATTTTGTATTTTTTGTAGTGATGGGGTCTCCATGTTCAGGCTGGTCTTGGACTTCTGGGCTCAAGTGATCCTCCCGCCTCGGCCCCTCAAAGTGCTGGGATTCCATGTTTGAGCCACCACTGCGCTGGGCCGTGTTCTGCTTTTTAAAAAAGCAGCTTTATTAAGGTGTGATTGATATAAAACAATGGTGCATATTGGATGTATGCAGTCTGATGGGCTGGCGTGTGCACCCCGGGAAGCCCGCCCAGGGATCCAGGTGCCACACAGATCTGTCACCTCCACAGCTCCCTCCCGCCCCCCTCCTGCTGGTGCTCTGTGGTGGGAACACAGAGTTCACACTCTACTCCCTGTATGCATTTTCCAGGGTTCTGGATTTTGATGCTGTTTTCTTTGGGGGGAGCACCAGCAGCTGGACGGGCAGGCCTGGGGGTGAGGAGGCTGCCTAGACCAGATGTGTGCCCCAGGCTGGAGAAGGGGCCAGGGCTCTGGTGAGCAGGGTCCCCAGTGCTGCCGGGTCTGTCCCAGGCAGAGGGACCCCAAGTGCATGGGCCTTGAGGCTGGGTGAAGGCCACGGCTGAAGGAAGGGCTGGGTGATTGGGGCCTGAGAGCTGGAAGGGGCTGGAGCTGGTGCCGGAGGGCTGTGGTCACATGGGGTGGCGGGAGCCACCATGGGGTGGGGAGGGAGTTAGTGACAGGGCAGGACTGCTCTTTGATCCAGCTCATATACCACCTCCCCCAGGAAGACCTCCAGGACTCCTCAGTGCCCTCCAACTATTGGCTGAATTGTGCCTCAGTTTCCTAATCTGTAACATGGGGGTAATAATAGTGGCAGTCTCAAAGAGTCATGGTGCTGTTTAGAGGATGAGAACACAGTCAAGTGAGCAGCATCACCCGGCGAACGGCACTACCCGGAAACGCTCGCTTCCGTTACCTCGTTAATAGACATTTGTGTCACCTCCATTTGCACCGATGGGCTGCTCAGGCCATAAGATGCTTCTCTGGTGCTCGCAGCTGGGCAGGAAGACACGTGTATCAGTAAACAGTTATGGCACTTGAAGGCAAGTCTCTGACCTCCCGATTTTTCCAGGAGAACTTTGAAATCCAGATTTTACATTACGTCTCGCAGTTTCTTGACAAGGAATTCAGCTTCTTCATTCACACGCCACTTAGTCAAACTAGACACAGCTGTAGCTACAGTGTCACTGGCTCCATTGTACAGATGGGAAAACTGAGGTTCAGAGGGACCGACTTGCCCACATGGCCCTGTGGAGTGCCACTCAGGGTCTGGCTGCCTCCAGATCTGCTCCTTCCAGGGGACGTGGGGCTGGGCCTGACTGGCCAGCTCGGCTGTCCACCTCCTGCAGAGTCTCTGCCTATTGGTTCTGGCCGTCTCAGATCAATGAGGGTGGCTGTCTTTGTCCTGGAAGTACGTGTCCAAAAGAGAGTAGACCGCGATCCAGCCGCCTGGCTGTCTGGCTTTGCAACGTGAGCTCTAATCTGATGGGCTGGGTCACTCCTCCCAGCTCTGATGGGGTGTGGGCACTGAGGGGCCCGAGACAGGTTGACGGTGGGGATCGGGTGGACAGGGGGGAGCTCCCTGTGTCACTGGGGCAACGAATTGTAGATCTAGAGGAGCAAAGCTGGGAGGAGAACCAAGTGGACCCCAGGTGTGTAAACTGCGGTCCCTTTAAGAAAATCACGTTTTTTTGCAGTTTTTAAGTCAGGAGATTTCATGTATCTTTCTGTATTGCTGGTTTTCATGGAAAGCTTCTGTGTTCTCCTCTGACTCTTCCCCGACTGGCTCACTCAGCGCACAGGCAGGCTCTCTCCCAGTCTCCCGACAGCAGGAGGGCCTTTGCGCGGGCTGTGGCTGCTGGGGAATGCCACCCCTTTCTAGATTCGTGAGCGCCCCTCCTCACTGCCTTCTGTTTTGATTTTGGTTCTAGTTTGTTTGTTTGTTTCTTTCTCTCTCCTCTTTCTTTCTCTCTTTCTTTCTCTCTCTTTCTCGCTTTCTTTTTGAGACACAGTATTACTCTGATACCCAGGCTGGAGTACTGTGGCACCATCACAGCTCACTGCAGCCTCGACCTCCTTGGCTCAAGTGACCTCAGCCTCTCAAGTAGCTGGGCCTACAGGTGTGCAGCACTATGCTCACTTAATTTTTAAAAAATTATTTTTTATAGGCCAGGCGTGGTTGCTCATGCCTGTAATCCCAGCACTTTGGGAGGCCGAGGTGGGCGGGTCACTTGAGGTCAGGAGTTCGAGACCAGCCTGGCCAACATGGTGAAACCCTGCTTCTATTAAAAAAAAAAAAAAAAAAAAAAAAGCCTGGCATGGTGGTAGGTGCCTGTAGTCCCAGCTACTTGAGAGGCTGAGGGAGGAGAACTGCTTGAACCCGGGAGGCGGAGGTTGCAGTGAGCCGAGATCGCGCCACTGCACTCCAACCTGGGTGACAGAGCAAGACTCTCTCTCAAAAATAAAATGAAATAAAATATAAAACAATGTATACAAGAAATTAGCCGGACATGGTGGCAGGGGCCTGTGGTCCCAGCTACTCAGGAGGCTGAGGTAGGATAATTGCTTGAACCCAGAGGTGGAGGTCGCAGTTAGCTGAGATCATGCCACTGCACTCCAGCCTGACAGAGTGAGACTCCATCTCAAAAAAGAAAATAAATAAATAAATAAATAAATAAATAAATAAAATTATTCTTTATAGACACAGAGTCTTGCTATGTTACCCAGGCTGGTCTCAAATCCTGGGCTCCAGTGATCCTCCTGCCTCGGCCTCCCAAAGTTCTGGGATTACAGGCATAAGCCACAGCACCTGGGCTACATTTCACTTACCTGATGACTCTGTCTCAAATCCTGGCCTCTCCCCAGTCCCTGCTGTGTTTTCTCTGTGCTCTGTTGCATAGCATGCATTTGACATGAGTCGTTTGGTGCCTCCCTGTCCCCTGCTATGGTAAAGCCCCACATAGCAGGGTCCTGGCCACTGTCCCATTTGCAGCTCTTGGAACCTGCCTGGTACTGGTAGCTGCTGGCTGAGCCCCAGAGATTGTTCCAGGAGCAGGCAAGGCATAGACATGTTCCTGCATGGGGCCATCCGCTGCCCTGAGCTCGTACCCCCTGTAGATGGTGCGTGGGCCCGTTTACCACAGGCCCGTGACTGGTGTCACCTGTTGCTGTTATGACGTATTTTAAGAAGCGCTGTGACAGCATGACTCGGCTGCCGGTTTAATTACCTAAGCTCCAGGTGCGACAGCCTCAGGGGTGGGGGGCTTTCCCGCCACCTCCTATCCCGAGCCCCTGCCGAGGGGCCCCTCCCCTGGCCTGCTCGGGCAGCTGTGCCGGAGCCTCCTGGTGAGGCGTGGGGCCCTCGGCACTCTCGTCACGGGCGTACTTGTCCCGTCCCCTGCAGAACGTGCGCATCGACCCCAGTAGCCTGTCCTTCAACATGTGGAGGGAGATCCCCATCCCCTTCTATCTCTCCGTCTACTTCTTCAACGTCATGAACCCCAGCGAGGTCCTGAATGGCGAGAAGCCGCAGGTGCAGGAGCGCGGGCCCTACGTGTACAGGTGAGGCTGGGCAGGGGAGGGCGGAGGGGCCGCCTGAGGCTGGGCAGGGGAGGGGTCTCAGAGTGGACGGGACGGGGGGGCGCTGCTGGCTGAGCCCCAGAGATTATTCCAGGAGCAGGCAAGGAACTTCGAGACAGCTGGCGGGGCTGCGTAGGCGCGCTCCTGGCGGATGTGCCTGTGACCACGCCCTTACCATGCTCCACCCACTACCTTCCCTTCCCCTCCTCCACCACAGCCCCCCACCTTCCCCTCCTCCACCAAAGCCCCCCACCTTCCCCTCCTCCACCACAGCCCCCCACCTTCCCCTCCTCCACCACAGCCCCCCACCTTCCCCTCCCCTTCTCCATACCCCCACTTTCCCCTCCTCCATCACAGCCCCCCACCTTCCCCTCCTCTCCTCGACACCACCCACCTTCGCCTCCCCTCCACCACAGCCCCCTACCTTCCCCTCCCCTCCTTCATACCCCCCTACCTTCCCATCCCCTCTCCTCTGCCACAGCCCCCCATCTTCCCCTCCCCTCCACCACACCCCCCCACCTTCCCCTCCTCCACCAAAGCCCCACCATTTTCCTGTCCCCTCCTGCGTACCCCACCCCCGCACCTTCCCAGTTCACAGGCAGAGGAGCGGGGGCTCAGAGAGGAGAGCGACTTGCCCCCGGCACACGGTGTTCCAGGGATGGGGTGGGCAGAGCGTGTTCCCGCTGTTGGAGGCGCACAGCTTGGTTCTGGGAAAGCCAGGATGAAAAGCCGGCCAATGTGCCGGAGGTTTGGGAGTCAGAAACATGAGTCAGCTGCTGCATTCACTCATTCATTCACTTCACTCAATCACGCATTCACTCGTTCATTTAACAAATGTTTATTGAGCATCTACTAGGTGTTGGCTGCTGTTCTAAGCAAAGGGGACCCAGCAGAGGACAGAATGGGCACAAATGCCAAAGCTCTGTATACTCCTTCACTCCGTGAGCACTGTCTGAGTGCCAGGGCGCAGCAGACCAAGCCCTGCCTCACTGAGCTGATGTTCTGATGCGGAGAGTCAGTGACTGGCCCAATAAGGGGAAATCAGGCAGCCGTGCTGTGCAGAGCACAGTGCAGGAGGGAGCTCGGTCTGCCTGGAGGGGTAGGAGCAGCTCTGTAAAGGGACATTCCCTGCACCCGGATGGTGGGAAGAGGCCCTGGAGAGGGAGTCCGGGCAGAGCGCGTGCAAAGGCCTGAAGGCCCGGAACAAAGGCCTGTGCGTCTGGGTTTACGAGGGAAGGAGGCAGTGGAGAGACGAGGCCTGAGCCTTGCTGAGGGCCTCAGAGGCCGTTAGGAGCCTGATTTTAACCTGCATGCAAATGGGCTTGTGGTCCAGAGCACGGCATGATCTGATTTCCACTTTCTTTTTTTTTTTTGAGACGGAATTTTGTTCTGTTACCCAGGCTGGAGTGTAGTGGTGTGGTCTCAGCTCGCTGCAACCTCTGCCTCCTGGGTTCAAGCAAGTATCCCACCTCAGCCTCCTGAGTAGCTGGGATTATAGGCACGTGCCACCACACTCGGCTAATTTTTGTGTTTTTGGTAGAGAAAGGGTTTCACCAAGTTGGCCAGGATGGTCTTGAACTCCTGACCTCAGGTCAGCCTCCCAAAGTGCTGGGATTACAGGCGTGAGCCGCCATGCCCGGCCTGATTCCCGCTTTTCAAAGATTCTTCTGGGTGGTGGAGAATGGCTTGCAGAGGTGGGAGACCATAATGATGGCAGCAGTGACAGTCACGCCACGGATGTTTGCCGCGTGCTTTCTCTGCGCCCGGGCTGTGTTGCTCGCTTTAGGTGTGTCTGATTGTTTAGTCCCCACAGCCACCCCCTGGAGTGGGGCTGGTGATTACTCCATTTTGTTTGTTTGTTTGTTTTTTAATGTTTTTTTGAGACGGAGTCTCGCACTGTTGCCCGGACTGGAGTGCAGTGGTGTGATCTCAGCTCACTGCAGCCTCTTCCTCCCGGGTTCAAGCGATTCTCCTGCCACAGCCTCCCGAGTAGCCGGGATTACAGGCTCCCACCAGCACGCCTGGTTACTTCTTTGTATTTTTTAGTAGAGATGGGGTTTCACTCTGTGGGCCAGGCTCTCGAACTCCTGACCTCATGATTCGTCCACCTCGGCCTCCCAGAGTGCTGGGATCACAAGCACGAGCCACCCAGCCCAGTGATTACTCCATTTTGTAGGTGGAGAGGCGATGACTCTGCTGGGTGAGGAAGCACAGAACGAGGCCAGCTGGGTGGCGGCACCGCTTCCCACAGTGGGCAGGCAGGGGAGGGACAGGAGGGGCTGAGCTCGGCTTTGGCTGTGGGCGGGAGGTGTGCACAGAGGCCTGTCCCACGCGGTGGTGGACCGGGCACCTGACCCACCGGCTTCCCCCACAGGGAGTTCAGGCACAAGACCAACATCACCTTCAACGACAATGACACCGTGTCCTTTCTCGAGTACCGCACCTTCCAGTTCCAGCCCTCCATGTCCCACGGCTCGGAGAGCGACTACATCGTCATGCCCAACATCCTGGTCCTGGTGAGGCTGCCCCGTGGCCCCTGCCGCCTCGCACCCTGGCCTCGTCCCTTGAATCTCCTCCCGCCTGCCCCTCGCACCGAGAGCAGTCCCTGAGGTGGTCGGAGTGTGAGGACTCACACCTGTGGGTGGCTCTTGGCCCTGTGCTGTCTCCACCACCCCCGGTGGGTTCTGAGGTTCCCAGCTGGGTCCAGCTGTCTCTGGTTCAGAAGTCCTGGCTGAAGTTTTTTTTTAAATTTTTTTTTCCTTTTCGATTTACGCTTCTGAGATCTCCAAAAGGAGCTGGCTTGCTGGGGGCTGAGCCACATGCCCGCCTCTGGGACGGGGGCTGGAGTTCACTTGGCCTGAGTCCTGTGGGGTGCACGGGGGAGAAGGAGCTCTCGGGACCACATGGTGCTGGCACTGGAGGAGCAGAGGGTGGTTCTGGTGTCCCGGATGCCCCACGAGGCCACTCCAGGGGTCTCCTGCACCCCAACATTTCCTATCATGGGCTCTGTGCCGTGAGGCACAGCAGGGACTGAGGGAGGATGGGCCAGCCACGTCCAGCCTCTGACACGTGTCCCTTGGCCTTGCAGGGTGCGGCGGTGATGATGGAGGACAAGCCCATGAGCCTGAAGCTCATCATGACCTTGGCGTTCAGCACCCTCGGCGAGCGCGCCTTCATGAACCGTACTGTGGGGGAGATCATGTGGGGCTATAGCGACCCCCTCGTGAACCTCATCAACAAGTACTTTCCCGGCACCTTCCCCTTCAAGGACAAGTTCGGGTTATTTGCCGAGGTACGTGTGGCCTGCTGAGAAGCCAGTTTCAGGCCTGTGTCCTGTCTTCCTCGACACAGCCTGGACACCGGTCACCAGCTCGCCTCGTAGCTGGCTGGGGGTGTAGGGGCTGTGGGTTGTTAAGTGGCAGAGAGCCTGACTCACACTGGCTTAAGTGAAATGGGGAGTGCTGGGGCTCATAGAACTGAAAATGCTAGGGGCGGATTCAGGTACAGCTTGATCCAGGCTCAAATGATGTGACTGGGCCTCACCTTAGCAAATTGGAGGCTTTGCTGGAAGAAGCGGGCACGACTGCCGGGGAGTTAGGTCACGAGCCAACTCTTAATCTTGACTCCTGACAACCTGGTAGGGTCACTGATTGGGCTTCTGAGACAACATCTCGTCCATGTAGGGCCTGACCCTGACCTTGGCTCCCTCACTGCAGGTTTCAGTGAGTCCTCGGGACTGCTCTAGCCTCAGCCATCTCATTGGCCTCTGCTGGTCAGGGTAGAGTGCTGGGGGGTGTATTGTGGTGCTGCACGTGATACATGCTTAGTACATTTCTGTTAAGGGTGATGGGCTCCTGTCATGTGGGTAAATTGGCAAGTTTGGGGTAAGAGGCATGATTCTATGAAAGCATCTTGTAAATCCTAAAGTGCTTTGCAAATGAAAGTGACTACAAAGTCACTAGTTTAGTATAGTCTACGTTTAGTAGATTTAGTTTAGTATAATCTACGTTTGACTGCCTGTAATGAAAACCTCACAAGAACAGTCTAACGGTGGACTGTTGAGTGTTAGCGTGGTGGCTTCATGGTCTTAAGTGATCTGGAAGTTGACCACTCTGCTCTGCTGTCCTTGGCATGTGGTTTTCATCTTCAAGATAACCTCATGGTCCAAGTTGGCTGCTGGAGTGCCAGCTATCATATCACATTCCAGGCAGCAGAGCAGGAAGGAAGTGGTGGGGCTTTGGGGAGCAGATGGAGGAAATGGGGCTCAAACAGCATGTCCCAGCTGCCTCCTTCTCAGGAAGGGAGAAAACCAATGCCCACTGACTTTTTATTGGCCAGAACGGAGTCACGTGGCCACACCTAGCTCCTGGGGAAGCTGAAAATGGGGTAGCCTTTTCGGTGGGTGTGCTGGTACGGTGAGTATGGTTTGGGCTTTCTTATGAAGGAGAAAGGAGAGAGTGGACTCTGGGTAGTAACTGGCAGTTTCTGATGCCCTGTGTCCCTGATAATGATCATTTAAGGATCCTGGTGGGTGAGCATTTATTTATTTATTTTTTATTTTTGAGGCGTAGTCTCCCTCTGTTGCCCAGGCTGGAGTGCACTGGCGTGATCTTGGCTCACTGCAACCTCCGCCTCCCGGGTTCAAGCTGTTCTTTTGCCTCGGCCTCCTGAGTAGCTGGGACTAGAGGCACCTGTCACCACCTTGGCTAATTTTTTCTATTTTTAGTCCACACGGGGTTTCACCATGTTGGTCAGGCTGGTCTCGAACTCCTGACCTTGTGATCCACCCGCCTCGACCTCCCGAAGTGCTGGGACTACAGGCGTGAGCCACCGCGCCCGGCCAGCATTTGTTAATAATAACAGTAATCATGGAAATAGAGACCAGTATTTCGCACGCTTCCTGTGTCCGGGCACCGCCCCCGGCCCTTCTGCACACAGACCCCCTCACTGCTCCCCTTTGTAGTGGCTCTGGTTATTCTTGGCTCCACGTGGGCAGGTGACAGAGACACATGGGAGGCCGAGCCGGGGCCTCGCGCTGGGTCCTGTCTGGAAGGTCTGTGATGCGGGCAGCCCCTCGGCCGGCTGACTCTGGTGGGGCGCCTCAGTGTGCTCCGCCCTGCACAGCACTTCCAGATCTTTCCTTCTGGTCACCCATTCCATTTTGTGCTTTGCATGTCCTTGGGATTAGAAACCAGCTTCTGGGAGACGCCCTCAGAGCACCAGGGCCTGGGCCCTCCTTCAAGAAACGCTCCATTAGCTCTGATAGGTTAGACCAGGCCAGGCTGTGCGGCTTCGAGAAGCAGCCCCGGAATCTCTGTGGCTCAGAACAGCCAAGACTGCCTCCCCGCACTGCACGTCCAGTGTGGGTGACTGGGGCACCCTCGCTTGCGATGGTCACTTGGGGACCCAGGTCGAGGGAGGCTCCGTCTTGACACATACCTCCGTGGCAGCCCGGTGAGAGGCGTGTACACAGTCCTTAAAGCGTCCCCCCAGGTGACATGCCACTTCTCCTTTTTCACTGTTCGGGGAGCTGACCTGGCCATGTTCTATTTTGCGCTGGGGTGGGGTGTGGGGGGGGGTGATCTGCCGTTCACCTGGGAGGAAAGCCCGACTCTCCTGGAGCTGGGGAGGGAGGGGGGAACACTGCAGCCACCGGAACCCAGGACCGTCCCTCCTAGAAAGCCCCCGAGCCTCCTCTTGGTCCCCAGACACTGGGCCTGTGGCAGTGAACCGGCTGCCAGGGGCTCTGTCCTTCTGGTGGAGGGCAGGAGAGCTCAGCCTAGGACGTCAGACCAGGCCAGCTCAACGGCGGGCCCGAGCCTTAACCATGCTGTTCCCTGCTGTGTCCGCAGCTCAACAACTCCAACTCTGGGCTCTTCACGGTGTTCACGGGGGTCCAGAACATCAGCAGGATCCACCTTGTGGACAAGTGGAATGGGCTGAGCAAGGTGAGAGGCGAGAGGCGAGGGCCCCTGTCGCCGGGGAGAGGGGAGAGGGGAGTGTGGGCCGGGCCGTGGCTGTACGGGAATGGCAGGGACCATGGGGCCCCTTCTTCCTTGGTCATGAAGTGGGTGCTGGGAGGATGAACACTCTTGGAGTTGGAGGAGGGAGTTTACCTCTGTGTAAAGCTTGACCAGCCAGAGGGGCAGGCAGGGGTAGTGGTTAGTGACTGCTCGGTGAGACCTGGCGTCTGCTGGGCATGGAGTGCTTTCTTCTTTTCCATTCTTTTCTTACAAAATGTTTTGAAATATTACACTAGAACACAGAAGACATTCACATAACAAAATAAAACGAGAGAGAAGTGCCCTTAGTATCACCTCCCACCCCTACCCCTCGCCCCGGAGGAGACCCACAGTTAGCAGTTTGGCATCTCTTCTTCCCGTCCATTTTTAGCCCTGTGCACGCCTGTGTGTACACGGAGAAATACAGCATTTTTTCTTCTTTGCGCCTCGTGAAATCAAACGACATGCATTGTTTTGCAACTTCCTTTTCTTCACCTTCGTGACCTTTTCTGAATATGCGTGAAAATGATTGTGCAGGTACCCACTACCTGCTCCCCATGGCAGTTACCGCAACCAGAGCCCAGAGTGGCAGAAATCACCACCTGCAACCGGCGGTACCCGTGCATGGTGGCTCGAGTTCACGTTCATTGTGGCTTGTATATTTCAACGTACTACATGGGCTTGTGGTTTCCAACATTCTCATGGTACGGAGGACCGGAAAGGGAGCAGTGGGTTTTGTCTCACTGCCCAGAGGCAGTTTACCTGATAGGTTCTGCTTTGGGATGCCCAGTGGTGGCCACCATTCTGATTTTCAGTAGTTTGCCGATTCCTAACGCCACCTGTTTTTAGGAGGTGCCTGTTGACTTCCACGCTGAGGGCTGAGCACAGCTGTGACCCATCTCTCACCTTACCTGTTCACCATGCCTCTTGCCAGATTCAGGCTGGAGATACGGGTGATAGGCCCATCTTGCAGATGAAAGAACCGAGTCCCTAGCCAAGTTCCACATTCAGGGGTCTGGGGGTGGGCAGCTGTGGTCGGTGTTCTCTCTGTCTGTCTACACAGCCTGCCCTCTTCCCACCATGCCAGTATTGGGAATTGAGTGGCCATGTCTGCACCAGGGCAAGCAGGATTTGTGGCACCTGAGAGGGCTTATTAAGGGGCCCTTAATAAGGGCCCATCCGATGCTTACTGAGGGGCCCATCCGATGCTTCCCGCAGGTTGCCTTCTGGCACTCCGATCAGTGCAACATGATCAATGGAACTTCTGGGCAAATGTGGCCGCCCTTCATGACTCCTGAGTCCTCGCTGGAGTTCTACAGCCCCGAGGCCTGCCGGTAATCACGGGGACATGGGGCTTCTGGGCTTCCAGGGCAGCTCATGGCCAAATCCAGAGGCGCTGGCTGTGCACTTGGGAAGCATTTTGACTCATTGTGGATTTGACTCCGTAACCCTTGGCACCATCTTGAATTCTCCAATTCAATTGGAGAGCCAAACTCCAGCTGCCAGTGCCTCCACACGGCCCAAAGAGAGGCTGCTGGTGGTGGTTTAGAGCCGGTGGTGCTGGGCCAGGAGCAGGGGGCGGGGCCTGTCAGGGTCGCGGGGGTCCGGAAAATGCAGGCGAGAGGTGGGCTTCCCCTGGCATCTGGCTGGCGGCCCCCATGACCATCTGGGTGCTGAGATACCGGCTGGCTCTGCTCAGCCCCTTCAGGCTCAGCTCTGCAGCCTGGGAGGCCTGAATGCGTCCCATGGTCTCAGTTGTGGGGTCGGAGCAGACAGTGGGAGCTCCTGCAGCCTGTTCTGGAGGCCTTGCTGTGTCGTGTTCCATTCCGGTCACTCTGGAAAAGTCCTTTACCTGGGAATTCCCTCATGTGGACCTTGACTTATCTGCCCTCCCAGCAAACCCTGTGAAGCCCTACTGTGTGCCAGGTGCCCCGTAGTGACAGAGTGGGCCAAGTCTCCGTTCCCAGGAGGTGGTGTCCCAACAGGGCGACTCAGGCAAATGGACGGACACCAGAGTGTCAGAGAGTGACAGTGCTTTTGCTCTATGTGGCCACTTTTTGCTGTTTTAAAATTTTACTTATTTATTTATTTATTGAGACAGAGACTCCCTCTGTCACCAGGCTGGAGTGCAGTGGCGCGATCTTGGCTCGCTGCAACCTCCACCTCCCAGGTTCGAGAGATTCTCCTGCCTCAGCCTCCCAAGTAGCTGGGACTACAGGTGTGCGCCACCGTGCCTGGCTAAGTTTTGTATTTATTTTTAGTAGACATGGGGTTTCACCATGTTGGCCAGGCTGGTCTCGATCTCCTGACCTTGTGATCTGCCCATATCGGCCTCCCAAAGTGCTGGGATTATAGGCGTGAGCCTCCTCGCCCGGCCTATTTATTTATTTATTTATTTTACATATTGGGTCTTGCTATGTTGCCCAGGCTGGTCTTGAACTTCTGGCCTCAAGGGATCCTCCTGCTTCAGCCTCCCGAAGTGTTGGGATTGTAGGTGTGAGCCACCATACCCCGCTGACTTTTTAAAAACGGAATGTTAAACTTAGAGAAGAGTTACATGAGAAGTACAAGTGGGCCGCCTCCCTTCACCCAGGTGTATTAGCCGTGTCTCTTTTGCTGTATCACGCCCCCTGCCCGCTCCTCTCACTGGGTGTCCTTCCTGAACCATCCGAGAGTAGGTTGGAGGCTGCGTGGCCCCCTTACACCTAAATTTACTCAGTGGGCGTCTTCCAGAAACGAGGACATTTTCTTACATAACCACAGTGCTATCACCAAAATGAGGAAATGTGACATTGACATAATACTGTTATCTAATCAATCGAACTAGGCAAGGCACACGTGCAGTTAAAAACTTTTTGGTAGCTGCATTAATGCAAGTAACAAGAAATTGGCGACATTATTTTGAATAACGTATTTTCTTTGACCTCAGAGATCAACAATGTAATCACTTCAAGTGTTACTGAGGAGTTTTGGTTGTTTCTTTGTCTAGCAAGTGTTAGATATCTGGGATGTAGTTTACACGTGCGTTCCAGTTTGGACTCGCCCCACGTCAAGGGCAGGATGGGCAGCCACGCGTGAGGAGTGGCTGCCGTGGACAGAGTGGGTAGCGCAGTGCAGGTTCAAGTTCAGAGGCACTTTTGAGAAAGTGCAGGAGCGTGAACAGATGGAGGGTGAATGGGGTGGGTTTGGGGGACAGTGCTGTCACCTGAGGAAGTGACAGCTGAACTGAGATCTGAAGTCTGATGGATGAAGATGCGAGAGAGGACTGTTCTTAGGCAGAGGCAGCAGCTGATGCAAAGGCCCTGGGGCAGGAGGGAGGCCTGGGCCCAGGAAGGTGGGGGAGGGTGCTGAGCAGAGCTAGGCAGGAGCTGGAGAAGGACAGTGCATCCTAATGGTGGGTTAGACTAGAAAGGTCACCGGTTTTCAGGGGCATGATGCATTCTGTTCTTTTTTAAATTTCCTAACTTTCAAAAAAGTCTTTTTTAGAGACTCACCATGTTGCCCAGGCTGGTCTTGAACACCTGGGCTCAAGTGATCCTCCCACCTCGGCCTCCCGAAGTGCTGGGATTACAGGTGTGAGCCATGGTGCTTGGCCTCTGTTCTTTGGTGAAACTCTGGCTGGCTGTGGCTAATGCATGGGTGTGGGCAGGGAGGCAGAGTCGGAGCAGAGGCCAGCTGGGAGGTCCCTTTAGCTACCCGGGCAAGAGATGGGGCCAGCTCGGACCCGAGAGGTGGTAGCGCCTGTGGGGAGAAGTGGCCGGATCTGGGTGGCCTGTGGCAGGGCCTGGCTCTGGCCACCGGGTCTGGGTGTCCCCTCTCACCTTGTCTGTCCCCTGCAGGTCCATGAAGCTGACGTACAAGGAGCCGGGGGAGTTTGAAGGCATCCCCACCTACCGCTTCGTGGCTCCCAAAACCCTGTTCGCCAACGGGTCCACCTACCCACCCAATGAAGGCTTCTGCCCTTGCCGAGAGTCTGGAATTCAGAACGTCAGCACCTGCAGGTTCAGTACGTGTCGACCCTGTGCTGGGAGGGCTCGAGGGTGGGGCCAGCTGAGGGTTTATCTGCCCCAGGCTGTCTGCTTAATCTGTGGCCTCTGTACTCTTGATAATCCCATTAGCCTGAAGATAATGAGGACCTGCGGGAAGAGGATCTGAAAAGGAAGAAATGCCATGTCTAGTAGCCGCTGCCACAGTTAATTTCCATGAACTTCGTGGCTTAGAGCAGCACACACTTGTTATCTTGCAGTTCTGTAGCTCAGAAGTCCGCGTGGGTCTCACCGTGCTCAGATCAAGGAGGCTGCGTTCCTTCTGGAGGCTCTGAGAATCTGGATCTGCCTTTTCCGGCTTCTAGAGGCTTCTCTGGGTTTCTTGGGTCCCGGGCCCTTCCTCCACCTTTGAGGCCGACAGCACAGCATCCTTCTGATCCACTGGGTCCTCGAATCTCTCTCTCTGCCCCCTCTTCCAGTTCTAAGGGCCCTTTAGACCACATCATGCTCTCCTGGAAACCCCAGGACAATCTCCCAATCTTGTTTATTCTTATTTTTATTTTTTGAGACAAAGTCTCAGTCTGTCACCCAGGTTGGAGTGCAGTGGCGCCATTTCAGCTCAGTGCAACCTCCGCCACCCAGGCTCAAGTGATCCTCCCCCCTCAGCCTCCCGAGTAGCTGGGACCACAGGCATGCAGCACCACACCTGGCTAATTCTTTGTATTTTTGGTAGAGATGGGGTTTCACCATGTTGCCCAAGCTGGTCTTGAACTCCTGACCTCAAGCGATTCACCTGCCTTGGCCTCCCAAAGTGCTGGGATTACAGGTGTGAGCGACCGCTCCCGGCCTATTTTTATTTTTTGAGACAAGGTATCACTCTGTAGCCTGGGGCTGGAGTATAGTGGTGCAATTATAGCTCACTGCAGCCTCTACCTCACCGGCTCAAGCGATCCTCCTGCCTCAGCCTCCTGAGTAGCTGGGACCACAGGTGTGAGCCATGATACCTAGCTAATTTTATTTTTGTAAACTTTTTGTAGAGATGTTGTCTCACCATGTTACCCATGCTGGTCTCAGATGCCTGGCCTCATGTGGTCCACCTGCTGTGCCTGTTAAAGCAGTAGGATTCCAGGTGGGAGCCACTGTGCCCAGCCCAGCGTCCTGACCTTCAAGGCAGCAGCTGAGCAGGTCCAGTGCCCCTTTGCCCTGTGACCTAACATAGCCATGGGCTCTGGGGCTTAGGGCGTGGATATGTCTGGGGGGCCATTTCTCTGCCCTCCCACACGGTGATTTGGAACTTGAAAGTGACGCTTAGTGGGAAGGACCCTTCACCCCATTCTGAAATGGAAAGAGGCTGGCGAGGGTCTGTGTGTTTCATAACATCCTCTCGTTCCGCGGTGTGGGGTGGCTGGGCAGATGGGGGGACTGGCACTGGCATGCTGTTTCCTGGCATCGTTGGTGTGTCTCAGTTGTGTGCCAGGCCCCGAGGCACCCCCGCCTCCAGTTGCTCAGTCCGGACCTTTGGGTGTCAGTTGGATTCCCTGTCCTCACCCAGCTCTTCCAGTGCGTCAACAGGCCCAGATGGCGTTACCTCCAGGTTGAGTCCCTGCTCCTCCCTCTCTCTCGCCCTCCCAGCCCCCGCTGCACTGTCCAGGCCACGGCCACGTCCTTCCTGGTGGTCCAGCCCTTTCAATAGCCCACCCCGTAGTGCCACTGTACCGTCCATCTTCTAGACCATCCAGTGCGGTCACTGCTGGCCTTGTGCGGCTGTTTAAATTGAAATTGATTCAAACAAGATCAAACTAAAAGGCAGTTCCTTGGTTGCACTGGCCGTATGTTAAATGCTCATAAGCCATGTGTGTCTAGCGGCTACCATCTTGGATAGCGCAGATAGAGAACATTTCCATCATCACAGGGAGTTCTGTAGCATCCAACAGCAGCAGAGGGATCTTTTAACAACACAGGTCAGTGTGGTGGCTCATGCCTGTAATCACAATTCTGTGGGAGGCCAAGTTGGGTGGGAGGCCAAGCTGGGTGGGAGGCCAAGAGTTCAAGACCAGCCTGGGCAACATAGCAAGACCTCTCTCTACCAAAAAATACAAAAACAAAAAATTAGCTAGGCATGGCGGTGCCTGCCTGTAGTGCTAGCTACATGGAAGGCCGGAGTGGGAGCTTAAGCCCAGAGGCCAAGGCTGCGTGAGCTATGATCACACCACTGCGCTCCAGCCTAGGCAACAGAGCAAGACCCATCTCAAAAAAAAAAAAAAAAAAAAAAATGCAGATTGCCACTGTACTCTTAAAATGTCCAGCAGCGGCCGGGTGCGGTGGCTCAAGCCTATAATCCCAGCACTTTGGGAGGCCGAGGCGGGTGGATCACGAGGTCGAGAGATCGAGACCATCCTGGTTAACATGGTGAAACCCCGTCTCTACTAAAAATACAAAAAATTAGCTGGGCATGGTGGCACGTGCCTGTGATCCCAGCTACTCAGGAGGCTGAGGCAGGAGAATTGCCTGAACCCAGGAGGCGGAGGTTGCGGTGAGCCGAGATCGCGCCATTGCACTCCAGCCTGGGTAACAAAAGCGAAACTCCGTCTCAAAAAAAAAAAAATAAATAAATAAATGTCCAGCAGCTTTTCCTGTATTCATAGTGAGGTCCAAACTGCCCACGGTGGCCCTGGGCCCCACAGGATCTAGCCCCCGTCCCGCCCTGGCATCTCTGTGAAGGATCCAGCCCCCGTCCCGCCCTGGCATCTCTCAAGGATCCAGCCCCCACCGGCCTCTCTGACTCCGTTTCTCCCCACACGTCCCCCTTCATTATTCTTCAGCCTTGGTGTCTTCCCCTGTGTTGAGAATATATTGAGGTCAGTGCTGCCTCAGGGCCTTTGCATGGGCCGCTTCCCCTGCTTGGAGTGCTCTTTGTCGGGACTTCTGAGCCGATCAACACTCACCTTCTTTTGGTCTGCATGCAAATGCCATCTCCTCTGGGAGGCCTCCTCTGATTTCCTGTTCTAAAGTTGTCCCCTCTCCCACCTGCTGCTCCCTACGGCTTCCTTTTCTTGTCTTCTAGGTGCTCACTGCTTCCCGAAATCAGGGACTGTCGATTTCATCTTCTTCGTTGGCTACCTCTTGCATTCACTGTCATCCTTGTGGGCGTGACAAGCTCTTGGTTTTATTCTTAGCTTCTAGAACTGTGGCCTGCATTTAATGGATACTCATACAGTATTTGAATATAGGGATGGTGAGTGTGTTCTGTACTTAGGAAATGGAGGCTTGAGGCTGGACGTGACCAAGGTCACAGGGTTGGTGGGACTGGAAGCCGAGCTTCTGTTTGACTGCGTCTTGCCTTTTGGGAGCCTTTTTTGGTTGAAGCCCCAACCTGCAGCTGGAGACGGCGACTCTAGAGGACTGGTCTGCAGCAGGGGTCAGGAGGAAGGACTGTCCACAGATCGCACGGTTTTCCCCATTTCCGGCGGGACGGAGCACCCTGTGAGCGAATGGTTTGGAGCTGTCTCCTGGTCCTGTCTGGCCCACCTGAGCATTGGCCTCTGTTTGCTTCATTCTTTGCTGGTGTTGGTGGGGATTTCTGCACTTAACATTGAGATTCTGCCCGATAGGAGGTGTGTTCCAGCAACGGTGGCAAGTGGCAGATGTTGGGCTCCACTTGATTTAGGCCAAAAGGGCACTTCTTGGTTTGCGTAATGAAAAATTCCAGGGCAGATCCCTGCATTCGGCACAAGTCCAGAAGTTAGATGTTGCCTGGAAGTTGCCCATGCCAAGTCCCAGCTCACTTTTCTGCTGGACTGGCTTTGCTGGCAGGCAAGCTCTCCCTCCTGGCTGCCTGTGGAGGCTCCAGACTCACCTCCACCCAGCTCCGAGTCCTGCAGCAAGTGGGCCACCTTCGTGTCCTTCAGTCCAGCACAAGTCCCAGGGTTTGCTCTAATTGGTCCACCTGGCACCCATGCCCAGCTGTGAACCCATCACGGTAGCTGAGGTGGACTATGCTGATTGGCCAGGCTCGTGTCACATGCTCAGCTGGCTCCCTGGGTGGGCTGGCCCCACTGGAAGCACAAGGCTGAATGAAAGTAGGGGAAGTAGGGGTGTAGGGACCAGAAGGAGGGGGAGAAATGACATGCCCATCCCTTCCAAGGGCTTGGGATGAGGTGTGCCCTGCCTTCTGTTGGCACATCTGCCAAAAGACTTTCAAAAGCACAAGAGAATTTTAAAATATTTATTTAAATAACGTTTTTTTCTTTTATTTACTTATATTTTTGGGACAGGGTTTCACTCTGTCGCCCACGCTCAAGTGCAGTGGTGCAATCACAGCTCACGGCAGCCTCGACCTCCTGGGCTCAAATGATTCTCCCACCTTAGCCTCCCGGGTAGCTGAGAGCACCGGTCCACACCACCACATCTGGCTAATTTATTTTATTTTTAAATTTTTTTTGTAGAGATGGGGTTGTGCCGTCTTGCCTGGGGTTAGTTTTTGCTTCTGAATAAAATATTCATGTTCCCAGATGACTCACGCAGTTTTGGGGGTTTTTGGCTTTGTTTTTTTGAGCCAGGGTCTCACTCTGTTGCCCAGGCTGGAGTGAGTGGTACTATCACGGCTCACTGCAGCCTGACGTCCATCACTTGATCGATCCTCCCACCTCAACCTCCCAAGTAGTTGGGACTACAGGCGCTTGCTACTATGCCCAGCTAATTTTTAAATTTTTTGTAGAGATGGGGGTCTCACCATATTGCCCAGGCTAGTCTTGAGGTCCTGGGCTTAAGCGATCCTCCCGCCCGAAGTGCTGGGATTACAGGCATGAGCCGCTGCGCCCGGCTGACATGCGTAGTTTGAAACTTGCCAAAGTCAACGCACCACGTGGCCAGCACCCTGACTGAGAAACAGAACACGACAGGCCGGATGCCGCTCACACTCCTCCCACCGCCCTGCTCTGTAGCCCCAGAGCTCAGCTGGTTTGCATCTCCATGCAAATGGACCCAAAAGCTAGATTCCTGTTTCTCCTGTGCACCCCTGAGCACCCTGCTGTGACTCGTCCGTGACATTGTGACGGTTGCAGCGCCCCTTCATTGCTGCGTGGTGTTCCATCCTGGGCGCCACTTCCATCCTCTCACTCCTTCCATTGCTCCTGGGCATGCGAGTTCCTGTTTTTGACCATACCGTGGTGCACACGTGTCGTTTGCACCCATGTCCGTGTTTCTGTGGCATTTTATCTAAAGAGTAAAGGTACCCATGCCTTTGCCTTTCTAGGCCTTGAAATCTGCTGGACTCGGACACTTCCCTCATCGCAAACCTCCCTCTCCCACGAGGACCTCCAGCTTGCGTCATAGAGCCAACTAGTTATCATCTGTGGCAATCCTGGACAATTATGTCTGGCTAGATATGCCATAAAGCTATAAATTAATTACCACTTACTGCCAGGAATATCTTTCTCGGCGTGTTTGGTAATAAAATTGGAAGAAACATGTGCGCGGGCCTGTGCAGGCTTGCCCTCTGAGGCAAGGGCAGGGCCTGGCACGTTACCCCATCCCACCTCGGTCTCCACCGGGGGCTGTGAGTAGGCCAGGGCTTGCTTGAGATTCCTCCAGGGCCTGGCTCCATGGCTGCCTCCTCGGCGGGAGGCCATGAGAGTGTTTCCACTTGTGGGGTGCGGTGCTCGCGTGTGCCCTGTTGGGCAAAAGGGCTTGTGTCATATGCCCAACTGGCTCTTTTGCCTGAGATGGGAGGATGAGAGGCAATGTTTTCCAAATTGTGGAGGACATTGTCCCTGCAGGTTCTTGAGATGGCTTCAGAAGGTCCAAGGAGGTGAGAGGGAGCTTCTGGGCCCATCCTCTTTCTCTGCTTGCCATCGCCTGCAGGAGAGGGGTCTCTGTTGGTGCTCGGAGGGCTCCAAGACCCTTCCACACTCATCAGTTTTTTGTTTTGTTTTTTTTTTTTTTTTTAAACAGAAAAAGATCAGGGCGTCCAGCTAAAGCGTTGTGCAGTAACAGGTTCTAGTTAGAACTTACAACATTCATTATTTTGCATGGTATTTATTCTAATATTTTCCCTCCCTCCCTCCCTCCCTTCCTTTTTTTTTGACACACTCTTTCTCTGTTGCCAAGGCTGGAGTGCAGTGGCACGATCTTGGCTTACTGCAATCTCTACAAACTGTCGTCCAGGCTGGAGTGCAGTGGTGCGATTTCACCTCACTGCAACCTCTGAAGCCTCCCAAGTTCGAGCAATTCTCCTTCCTCAGCCTCCCAAGTAGCTGGGATTACAGGCGCGTACCATGCCTGGCTAATTTTTGTATTTTTAGTAGAGATGGCGGGGGGGGTCTCACCATGTTGCCCAGGTTGGTCTTGAACTTCTGACCTCAGGTGGTCCGCCCACCTCGGCCTCCCAAAGGGCTGGGATCACAGGTGTGAGCCACCGCGCCTGGCTCAAATATGTACTTTCTAATTGCCGCAAGTGTTTGCCAGGAACGGCACAGCTGTAAAGCTTCCCTTTAAAATACAGAGACGGAAGGACGGCCGTGGCAGCGGGTTCAGAGCGGCTCATTATATAACGGTGCAGGGGGCGTTCAGATGTGATGAAACTGAAGAGGTTCTGGGATGAGTAGTGCTTGAGAAACCGTAAGGGCAGGCTGCACAGAGACTGAGAAGGACGAGGCCTGACCTGGATCAGAGGCCCGGCTTTTATTTCACACCAGTGCCTGGCTTTGCTAAGAAAAGCAGAGATACTTCAGAGGGGTGAGCTGAGATGCCCGCAAGCATGGTTGCTGGTCCTCTGGCCGGCAGTGAGGGAGGGCCGATGCCTTGTGGGAAGGAGACCTTGTGAGTTTGATTTTGTTTGTTTTTCTTTCTTACGGAGGCACAATCCATGTAACATGAAATTAACCATTTTGAAGTGAACGCTTCGGTGGCATTTAGCCCAGTCAAAAGGTTGTGCAGCCGTCACCTGTATTTCACTCCGGAACATTTCAGTCACCCCAAAAGGAGATCCAGACTCATCAGCTGATCACTCCCGCCCCCTTCCCCGGCCCCTGGTCACCACCTGTCAGCTCTGTTTGTAGATTAGCAAGGTCTGGGTCCTTGTGAGCTTTTTAATTTTTTTTTTTTCTTTTGAGACAGGATTTTGCTCTGTTGCCCAGGCTGGAGTTCTGTGGCACAATCACGGCTCCCTGCAGCCTCAGTCTCCGAGGCTCAGGTGATTCTCCTGCCTCAGCCTCCTGAGTAGCTCAGACTGTACGCATGCGCCACCATGCCAGGCTAATTTTTTGTAGAGATGGGGTCTTACCATGTTGCCCAGACTGGCCTCCGATTCCCGGGCACAAGTGATCTGCCTGCCGAGGCCTCCCAAGGTGTTGGGATTACAGGGGTGAGCTTTGAAGAGAGGCCCGCTCCCTGTTCCTTGTTAACTTGTCCCTCAGGTGAGCTGGTGTTCGCCTGGTTTGGCTGGTCCGTGGCGAGGCTGACCTCACGTTTGTAGCTGGTGTGGGAGACCCGGCCGCAGGTGCACACACCTGAGCTCCGATTGTTGCTGCGTGGCCTGCAGGGGGCAGCGTGGGCTGCCTGGCTTGTGCTCCAGACACCCTCCCCACACCCAAGTTCAAATCTGGCGGCACCTTTTCCATCCCCGCCTCCCTAGCTCCCGCGTGTGCCTCTCCCCTCCCTGCGCTCTTCTGCCATGCCTCCCACCTGGGTCTCGCTGCCCAGGCCTCCTCCTGCTCCTGTGAGCGGCCTCTGCCTTCCTTTGGTTTCTCCTGCCTCACCCGACTTCTGGTGCAGAGCTTGGCCCTCAACTTAGGGCCCGGGCTCTTTACAGAATGGAGGGGAGCCGCCTTGCCTGGTTGTCTTGTCATCACCACGGGGTGCTCCGCGGACCACAGTTCTTGGCAGACCTCCAGCCTGGCAGGGCCTGCCAATGCGCTGTCTTCTCCTCATGCCCCTCCCTGCCCCTCTGCCTTCCAGGTGCCCCCTTGTTTCTCTCCCATCCTCACTTCCTCTACGCTGACCCGGTCCTGGCCGAAGCAGTGACTGGCCTGCACCCTAACCAGGAGGCACACTCCTTGTTCCTGGACATCCACCCGGTGAGCTGCTGCCATCCTCTGCGGGGCAGTGGGTGGGTCCTGGTTGGGGCACACCTGGCCGCCCCTGCTCCCCACAAGCACAGAGCTGCTGCGGGCTGGGGTGGTGGGAAGCCTGGCTTCTAGACTCTCCAGGCACCCAAAGTCCTTGCTTTAACCCGACTCCAAAGTTCAAGATGGTTCAGGGGTTTTATGATCCTTTTCTAAGGTACTGGTTCTATCAGTGGGCCCCAAGACAGTAAATTCATTAGAACTTATCAGCTGGGGTGTCTCCTACATGTGAGCTGGAGGCAGCCCTCTGGATGTGTCAAGATACCATAAAGATCTTCAGGGAGAGCCTGGAACATCTTGCGGATAAATCACGCAGGGAATTTGTCCTGTGTGAAGTTCTGTCTACAGGCAGGGAGCTGGACATGTGACCCTCCCAGGGACACGCCCTCAGCCTGTGGCCTCTTCTCGGCACCTCTGGTCTCTATAAAATATGCCCAGTTGGACTTGGGGGCTGCTACCACTGATTCAGAAATCTGTGGGTTTTCTGTTTCCTGGGTGGGCACTTGTGGTCTCTTTCACAGGCCTTTAATAAAATTAAATTTTTTTTGAGACAGGGTCTCGCTCTGTTGCCCAGGCTGGAGTGCGGTGGCATGATCATGGCTCACTGCAGCCTCGACCTCACTGGGCTCAGGTGATCCGCCCCTCTCACCCCGCCTGGTAGCTGGGACTGCAGACATGTGCCACCACGCCTGGCTAATTTTTATGTCTTTTGTAGAGATGTTGCCCAGCCTGCTCTTGAACTCCTGGACACAAGTGATCTGCCTGTCTAGGCCTCCCAAAGTGCTGGAATTACAGGCACGAGCCACTGTTCCCAGCCAAAATTAATGTTCTAAATTGAGAAAAGAATAGCTGTGTGTTTTTGAGGTGTACCATGTGATGTTATGATATGTGTATGTGTTGTGGAATGTCTAAGTAAGCCGATTAACATAGGCGTCACTCCACGTACTGACCATGTGTTAGTGGTGAGAACATTTACAATCCACACTCAGCAAATTTCAAGTATAAGGACAAGGCTATTCACTGTAGTCACCATGCTGTGTTGTACAGTACAGTTCGGTGACTGACGCTCTATTGTACAGGAGATCCGAACTTACTCCTCCTTACTGAAATTCTGTCTCCTTTAAGCGACCCCCCACCCCCCGTCTGCCGTCCCAGCCCCTGGTAACCAGTATTCTACCCTCTGCTTCCATGAATTCAACTTTCTTTTTTTTTTTTTTTTTGAGACGGAGTCTCACTCTGGTCACCCAGGCTGGAGTACAGTGGCTTGATCTCTGCTCACCGCAACCTCCTCCTCCCGGGTTCAAGCAATTCCCCTGCCTCAGCCTCCCAAGTAGCTGGGATTACAGATATGCACCATCACACCTGGCTAATTTTTGTCTTTTTATTAGAGACTGGGTTTCGCCACGTTGGCCGGGCTGGTCTCGAACTCCTGACCTCAGGTGATTCACCCACCTTGGCCTCCCAAAGTGCTGGGATTATAGGTGTGAGCCACCGTGCCCAGCCTGAATTCAACTTTTTTAGATTCCACATACGAGCGAGATCACGCAGTATCTGTTTCTCTATGCCTAGCCTATTTTACTTACTTAATCTCCTCCAGGTTTGTCATGTCACAAATGACAGGATTTCCCTGTTTTAATTTTTATTTATTGATTTTTTGACAGAGTCTCACTCTGTTGCACAGGCTGGAGTGTAGTGGTGTGATCTCGGCTCCCTGCAACCTCCGCCTCCTGGGTTCAAGCAATTCTCCTGCCTCAGCCTCCCGAGTAGATGAGATTAAAGGTGTGCACCACCACACCCGGCGAATTGTTGTGTTTTTGGTAGAGATGGTGTTTCATTACCTTGGCCAAGCCGATCTGAAACTCCTGGCCTCAAGTGATCTGCCTGCCTCAGCCTCCCAAAGTGCTGCGATGACAGGCATGAGCCGCCTTGCCCGGCCGGATTTCCATCTTCTTCAACGCTGGGCATACCCCCACGGTGTGCCCCATCTCTGCCGTGCCCATTCATTCACTGACGGACACTTCACTTGGTTCTGTATCTTGGCCGCAGTGTACCTGGGAGTGCCCCTGGCTGTTTGTCACACTGATTTCCTCTGGGTGATTCTGGCAGTGGGCTTGCTGAGCCGACGGTAGTTCTGGTTTTCGTTGTCTGAGGAAGCTCGTGCGTTGGCCCCGTTGCTGCGCCCCTCGGGCCCTTCCCGAAGCCCCACTGCTGTTCGGCACGGTTTTTCTTTGTCTTTCCAGACCTCCTTCGCCACTGGCTCGATGCCCTCAGCCCCCGCCCTGGCCCCGGCTCTCCGCCTTCCCTCTCTTCGCAGTTCATTCCTCCTCCGACCTCTCTTGCCCTTCCACAGAATTCCACCATGAACACGGGCCTCTCTGTGCTCTCCCTGATCACTTTCCTTTCAGGGCACAGATTTTCTCCCCCCCCAACGCCCCCGCCTCACATCCAGAAAGACGGGGTTAAGGCTGGGAGCCCAGGGAGAGGCCAACAGCTGCTCTGCTGTGGCCACGTTAGCCGCTGCCTCCAGATCGGCTCGAAGCACCCGGGGAGAGGAAGTGGGCTTTGCTCCTTTGTGATTTGAGCTGGGCACGTTGGGAAGAGGGATGGTAACAGCCTCTTGCTGCCTGTTGGCCATTAGCCTTGAAAACCAAATGCGTGTTGGAAGCTGCTTCCATGCGGCCACTTTTCTGCTCCTGAAACGCGGGGAGGGCATAGGGATAGGGAGTCCCAGGGTTCTGCTTATGGTGGGATCACAGCTCAGACTTAGGATAACGACAAAATTCAAAGCAAAATTAGCAAAGGGAGAAAGCACCTAGGGTGAAGTCGGGGCGGCCAGGCTGGAGCTTCCAGAGTCTTCTCCCAGCGGGGGTCGCACAGGCGCACCTAACGTCTTTGGCCACGAGTGGTGGCAACGTGTAGGTGATGCTGTCTAGCAGGGAAGGCCGTGAGAATTTCAGTGCCCAGGGTGTTTCTCTAGGGATCAATCACGTGACAGGTATCAAAATTCTAGACCCTGGGAAGGAAAGCGGGTGCTGAGCAGGAGCCATGTCTGTGCAAATAATTTCGGCCCAGTGAACAACTCTCATCACCTAGGGGATGGTGGGGACCCTCCTGAAATCGGGGTTTCTGGATGCCAGCCACGGGCCGGCCTTGCCAGCAGAATTCCCGAGGAGAGCAGCTTCAGGCGTGCAGTGCGAACTCTGTCCGACTCACCGGAGATCTCACGCCCATCCCCCCAGGCTCTGGAGGGCAAGTGCTCCCCAGTCCTGGCATCAAGGGCCATAAGGCAGAAAACATCTTTCCCTACAGTGCACGTGATCCTAAGCCAGGCGTTTATGGCCCCGAGTGTGGCTACCTTGCATACCTTATTTCTGCTCTTGCGTTATCTCTATTTTACAGCTAAGGAAGCAGCTCTCAGCTGAGAAGACCCTATTGCAGTTCTCTGACCTCAAATCTGGTTTTATTTCCACTATAGTTTCCCGACTTCATTCTGGAACCACCTTCTTGTGTTTGTTGACATGTGCACTTCACTTCTGTTATTTACTTAAAAAAAAAGTCCCCTAAAAAAAAAGAGCTGGGTCTAGTTGCTCATGGCTGTAATTCCAGTGCTTTGGGAGGCTAAGGCAGGAAGATCACTGAAGACTAGGAGTTCGAGACCAGCCTGGGCAACATAGTGAGACTCCGTCTCTACAAAAATAATGATAAATTGGCTGGGTGCAGTGGCTCACCCTGTAATTGCAGCACTTTGGGAGGCTGAGGTGGGCAGATCACTTGTGGCCAGGAGTTTGAGACGAGCCTTGTCAACATGGTGAAACCCTGTCTTTACTAAAAATAACAAAAATTAGCCAAGTGTGGTGGTACATACCTGTAGTCCCAGCTACTGGGGGTGCTGAGGCAGGACAGTTACTTGAACCCAGGAGGCAGAGGTTGCAGTGAGCAACTGCACTCCAGCCTGGATGGCTGAGGGAGACTCTGTCTCAAAAAAAAGATAAAAATAAATTTCTGCACAAAAGAAGCTTTTTACTACTACCTCAACTAGGAAATTACAAAATTCTCCAAAAAAGAAAACAACCATAAAAATGAACAAAGAAAAATATATTAGGCTGGCCAGGCACGGTGGCTCATGCCTGGAATCCCAGCACTTTGGGAGGCCAAGGCAGGCAGATCATGAGGTCAGGAGTTAAAAGACCAGCCTGGCCTAAATATGGTGAAACCCCATCTCTACTAAAAATACAAAAATGAGCCAGGCATGGTGGCTTCCAGCTACTCGGGAGACTGAGGCAGGAGAATCACTTGAACTAGGAGGCGGAGATTGCAGTGAGCCGAAATCATACCACTGCACTCCAGCCTGGGTGACAGAGTGAGACTCAATCTCCAAAAAAAAAAAAAAAAAAAAGCCTCTACGTAAAATATGAGGCTCTATGTAAAGTACCTTTGTCTGCCAGCGGGGGCGAACCTGAGGCAGCTCTCGGCACCATGGTTAAAGGGGGAGGTTTTGTGCGGGTGTATTATTAGAGGAGCATTGAAGACCATGCAAACACCAGGCTGCGACCGACTCTTCAGAATGATCAGGGACAGTTGGGAGTGAATTGAGAAGGGATTCTCATCCATGTTATTGAACGTGGAGGTGTAGGGGGCATCTACAAATCGCCATTCTGCCCTTTGGGAAACCTCACTGTCTTAGGGACAGGTGGGAGTGATTTGGGTTTTCCACCCCGAGACAGGCTTGCTTTACAAAACGGACCTCCTGAGGGTGTGACTGTGTGGGAGCATTTGTTTCCCTGTAAGCGGGGAGAACCAGGAGGAGATCCCAGGGCACTTGCACATTGCTAGAACCGTGGACTCCCCCAACCCGTGGCTTGTTTTAGGTCAGATATAAGCAAGCTCCACTGGGCAGTTAGCTGGGACGCCCACCCTCTTGCCTGAGACCAGGGAGAGGAGGGATTGGTGGCATCCCTGGAGCTGGGGGGGGGGTGCAGTCTCCTCACTGTGTGTGTTGCTGCAGGTCACTGGAATCCCCATGAACTGCTCGGTGAAACTGCAGCTGAGCCTCTACATGAAATCCATCAAAGGCATTGGGTGAGTGGGGACTGGCACTGGGGTTGCATTGTTCATTTAGAGATGAGGGGCTCAGCACTCTGGTGGTCCCAGACTCTAGTGACATACCCCAGAACCAGGGCATGGGGAAGGGAGAGGGTCCTGTTGGGGGTGGAATCCAGTCCCTGCAGATCTTCTCCTGAGGGTTCCTGGTTCTGAGCCAGGTCCTGACCTGCATCCTGATATTCCTTCCCTAGAACCCCACTTTTCTTTCTCAACATTCACCCTTTCCCCGCCAGTTAGCCAGAATCTTCACTCCAAGCTGTCTCCTACTCAACAGAGTGGCAAAAATGAAAGCCTGGCAAAACCGAATGTTCGCAAATGGAAACTTACCAAACAGCATTCTTAAGTTTGACTACTCATTTTATAAGAATTTTTTGAGCACTGATTTCCTCTTTTTGATTTTTAAAATAAAACAGCTTTATGGAAATACAATTCACGTACTCTAAAACTCACCCTTTTAAAATGCACAATTCAAAATTAAAAAATTAAAACAAACTTCCTCCCCCAAAATAAAATGCACAATTCAGTGATTTATGGTCTATTCACAGAATTGTGCATCTATTACCACAATCAATTTTGGAACGTTTTCATCACCCCCAAAAGAAACCACGCATCCATTAACACTCACTCCCAATTCCCTCAGCCCTGGGCAGCCCCACTCCTCTACTTCCCGCCTCTGAGGACTTGCCTGTTCTGGGCATCTCATATACACAGGATCATACGCTCTCATATACATGGGATCATACGCTCTCATATAAATGGAATCATACGCTCTCATATACACGGGATCATACGTTCTCATATACACAGGATCATACGCTCTCATATACACAGGATCATATGCTCTCATATACACAGGATCATATGCTCTCATATACATGGAATCATACGCTCTCATATATACCGGATCATATGCTCTCATATACACGGGATCATACGCACTCATATAAATGGAATCATACGCTCTCATATACATGGGATCATATGCTCTCATATACACGGGATCGTATGCTCTCATATAAATGGAATCATATGCTCTCATATAAATGGAATCATACGCTCTCATATACATGGGATCATATGCTCTCATATACACGGGATCATACGCACTCATATAAATGGAATCATACGCTCTCATATACATGGGATCATATGCTCTCATATACACGGGATTGTATGCTCTCATATAAATGGAATCATATGCTCTCATATAAATGGAATCATATGCTCTCATATACATGGGATCATATGCTCTCATATACACGGATCGTATGCTGTCATTTACACGGGATCATATGCTCTCATATACGTGGGATCGTATGCTGTCATTTACCTGGGATCGTATACTCTCATATACATGGGATTATACGCTCTCATATACACGGGATCATATGCTCTCATATACACAGAATCATATGCTGTCATGTACACGGGATCATACGCTCTCATATAAATGGAATCATATGCTCTCATATACACGGGATCATACGCTGTCATATACATGGGATCATATGCTGTCATATAAATGGAATCATATGCTCTCATATAAATGGAATCATACGCTCTCATATACACGGGATCATATGCTCTCATATACATGGGGTCATATGCTCTCATATACACGGGATCATATGCTCTCATATACACAGAATCATATGCTGTCATATACACGGGATCATATGCTCTCATATAAATGGAATCATATGCTCTCATATACACGGGATCATATGCTGTCATTTACACGGGATCATACGCTCTCATATACATGGGATCATATGCTCTCATATACACGGGATCATATGCTCTCATATACACAGGATCATACGCTCTCATATACATAGGATCATACGCTATGTGGTCTTTGCGTCTGGCTTCTTTCATTTAGGATCGTGTTTTCAAGGTTCATGTTGTAGCATGGATCAGTACATTTCATGGCTGGATAATATTCCATTGTCTGGATAGACCACATTTATTTATCAGTTGATGGACGTTTGGGTTGTTTCCACGTTTTGGCCATTATGGATAATGCAGCTGTCAATGCTCCTGTTGAAGCCCGGTGTGGACATCTGTTCCCATTTTCCTTAGGTGCGTGCCGAGGGATGGAATGGCTGGGTCCTATGTTAACGCTTTGTTTAACTGTTTGAGGAATGGCACAGCCTCTGCCCCATTCCCATTCTTACCAGCAGCGCTCAGGCTCCCGCTTCCTCCCACGTGTACCCGCACTCGCCGTGACATTAGCTCTGCTAGAACTTGTTGAGGGATTATACTGGCTTGTCGCCATGTCAGTGTCTGGACTTTTTAGCATATTTGAAATAGTTTTGTTTTAAAAAAATTCTCTTAGAAAAACCCGTGGGTTGCAGGAATGCGAGCCTCTATTCAGCTTTATCCAATGCCTCTCGGCTGGAAAGAATCACACTTTGTCAGAGAATGGCAGGGAGTAATAGCTGTCAGCTCATTTCCTTCATCCTGTCCCTGCATTTGATTTTTGTATTTTGAGGCCACTTCGGGGATTTGTTCTCGGTGGATTTGTGGGTGGTGAAACAGCCCGAGGCACAGAAGAGGCGTTCCCAACCCGAGTCTTCCTTCTGGTTCCACCACGTGGCACCTGGGCTGCTAACTGGGATGCAACTGGGGCCAAGTGGGTGACCCAGATAGAAGAGGCCACCTGCGGCCGAGGACACAGCCCCTTCCCAGCACCCGCTGACGGTGGCCCCGTGGAGATGTGGGCTCAGTGTGGCCATGTCCTCTGCATCTTTCCAAAGGATCTCCAAATCTGGATTTGGAGGAGATCTGTCCATTTTTATTTTTTGGAAGGTAATTCATATTCTTTATTCGAGACAAAGTCTTGTTCTGTCGCCCAGGCTGGAGTGCAGTAGCATGATCTCAGCTCACTGCAACCTCTGCCTCCCGGGTTCCAGTGATTCTGCCTCAGCCTTCTGAGTAGCTAGGATTACAGGTGCTCACCACACCCAGCTAATTTTTGTATTTTTAGTGGAGACGGGATTTCACCAAGTTGGCGAGGCTGTTCTCGAACTTCTGACCTCAGGCTGTTCTCGAACTTCTGCCTTCCAGAGTGCTGGGATTACAGGCATGAGCCACGGCGCCCGGCCTAATTCACATTCGGACACACGGTTCATGTGGGCAGCTGGCCTGTGCTCTGCCAGTGACCTGTGCACCGGCTGCTGTGGGCCACTCACCCAACCTCTCTGGGCCTCATGGCTGCTGACTTCCCTGCGGACTGGTAACAAGGCGCTCCAGAGAAGTGGTCTCAACAGCGGATATTGAGGGCCACGAGGGATGGCCGTGGGAAAAGTGTAGAGACTCAGCTGCCAGGAAGCAGAGCTGTCTCGTGACCTGTCGGGGGAGCTTCTGTGCTCCTTGCTCACTAGATAAAGGCAGTGGTGTCGCATGTCACTTGCATACAATTCCCATTGGTTCTTACAAAGTCTTTCAGAGGAAAGCAGCCAAAGTGGACGGCCCCGCGCACTGTCTTTCCACTGTGGCTCGTCCTCTGCAGGTGATAGTGTGTGCCCACTTCACTATGCAATACCCTGCAAACAAGGGGTTCCAGAGACCTCCAATAATTGTGATTGGGGGATCTGAGCCTTATTTTATTTTATTTTTTTAAGATGGGGTTTCACCATGATGGCCAGGCTGGTCTTGAACTCCTGACCTCAGGTGATCCACCCACCTCAGCCTCCCAAAGTGCTAGGATTACAGGCGTGAGCCACCACGCCCGGCTATTTTTTATTTTTTAAGACAGAGTCTCTCTCTGTCGCCCAGGCTGCCATGCAGTGGTGCAATTTTGGCTCACTGCAACCTCTGCCTCCTGGGTTCAAGCAATTCTCCTGCCTCAGCCTCCTGAGTAGGTGAGATTACAGATGCCCGCCACCCCACCCAGATAATTTTTGTATTTTTAATAGAGACGGGGTTTCACCATGTTTGCCAGGCTGGTCTCAAAACTCCTGACCTCAGATGATCCACCCGCCTTGGCCTCCCAAAGTGCTGAGATTATAGGTGTGAACCACTGTGCCCGGCCTGTGACTGGGGGATTTGAGCCTTTTGTGCTGACTTTGGCACCCGCCCCTAGTGACTTCCACCTCCCATCCCTACTGCTGTGCATGGTGAAGTGACAGGATATTTGTGTGTCCATTTCTTTACTGGGATTGAACAATAATAATAATAATAATAATAATAATAAATGTGTCAAGCGCTTTTACATGCTGGGTAGTTTTCTAAGCACGTTACTCAGATCACTGCACCGGATCCTCCCTAGAGCCTTAGGAGGAGTTATATAATAATATCTCCCTTATACAGGAAGCGACAGAGAGAGACTCAGTAGCATGCCTAAGGTCACAGAGCTCGCAAGTGGCTGTGTCAGGGGTCCCCGAGGCCACCACAGTCTTGATGATTTGCTGGGAAGCCTCAGGACACAGCATGCGGTTGTACACATGGCTGGGATTTATTACAGTAAACGGATTCAAAGCAGATCAGCAAAGGGAACAGCCACAGGAGGCCAAGTCAAGAGGAAAGCAGGCGCCAGCTTCCAGAGCCCTCTCCCGAGGAGTTGCCCAATTCCTGCTGTAGGCAGTTGTGACAACCCACGTGACATGTCATCTGCCAGAGAAGCTCGTTAGAGAGACTCAGTGCCCAGGGTTTTTACTGGGGGCTGGTCACGTGGCCACCCTCTGCCTGGCAGGTACCGAAATTGCAGACCCTCAAAAGGCCAGCAGGTGTTCGGTATCAACCACGTTACTTGTACGGATTGCTCAGGCACAGTGAGCCGTCCTTGTCAGTTAGGGAGCAGTGGGGACCCTCCGAAATCCAGGCTCCCAGACGCCAGCCCTGGGCCAGCCTTGCCAGCAGCCCGTGTGAGGAGGGAAGGCTTGGGACCGCCACAAGAACACGCGCCTGCACGGCAACCCAGGTGGGATTCGAACCCAGGCAGGGAGCTCGAGTGTGCGACATTAACCACCTCGCCACACTGCCTTTTCTGCTAGACACCTGCAGTGTGTCTGGGTCCGAGCTGGGGAAGTGGTGAGCCAGCCCACCCTGCTGCTCAGTACTGGGTGTGAGTTGCTGTATTCACTTCCTGTTGTTGCTGTCACAAATTTGCCACAAATGTCCTGGCTCACTTTTAAAGACTGTCTGACAGTCTGAAGTCCGAAGGGGCCCAGCAGGGCTAAGATCAAGGTGTCGGCAGGCCTTGTTCCTTCCGCAGGCTCTGGGGAAGGACCTGTGTCTTGCCGTTTTCAGCTTCTAGAAGCTGCCTACTACCATCCTGAGCGCATGACCTTCATCCTAAGCCTCCCTGTTTTTCCTTTTTGTTTGTTTATTGTTGTTGAGACAGAGTCTCGCTCTGCTGTCTAGACTGGAGTGCAGTGGCACGATCCATAGTTCACTGCAGCCTCAACCTCCCGGGCTTAGGTGATCCTCCCACCTCAGCCTCTTGAGTAGCTGGGACTACAGGCACGTGCCACCACGACCTGCTAATTTTTTTTTTCTTTTTTTTTTTTTTTTTTTTGGAGAGATAGGGTCTCACTATGTTGTCGGGGCTGGTCTTGAACTCCTGGGCTCAAGTGATCCTCCCACCTTAGCCTCCCAAAGTGCTGGGATCCGAGATGTGAGCCACCGCGCCTGGCCTCTCCCTCTTTAAAGCCAGCAACGTAGTGTTGTTCCAGTTTCTCCCTGCCTCTAACCTCCTGCTTCCCTCTTTTTAAAAATTTAGTTTTTTGGCTGGGGGTGGTGTCTCACACCTGTAATCCTTGAACTTTGAAAGGCCAAGGTGGGTGATCACAAGGTCAGGAGTTCGAGACCATCCTTGCTAACATGGTGAAACTCCATCTCTACTAAAAAAAAAAAAAAAAATAGCCAGGTGTGGTGGCGTGCGCCTAAAATCCCAGCTACTCGGGAGGCTGAGGCAGGAGAATTGCTTGAACCCAGGAGGCAGAAGTTGGAGTGAGCCAAGATCGTGCCACTGCACTCCAGCTTGGGTGACAGAGCGAGACTCCATCTAAAAAAACAAATTTGTGTGTTTTTTTAGGTTTTTTAAAAATTTATTTTTGTGTTTTTCATTTTCTCTCTCTTGCCTGATTGCTCTGGCTAGGACTTCCTGCTTCTCTCTTAAGGACTCTTGAGATACTCCAGGACACTCTTTCCATCTCAGAGCCTTGTAGTCACATCTGCTGTGTGTCTGGGTCTGCGCTGGGGAAGTGGTGAGCCGGCCCACCCTGCTGCTCAGTATTGGGTGTGAGTTGCTGTATTCACTTCCTGTTGTTGCTGTCACAAATTTGCCACAAATGTCCTGGCTCACTTTTAAAGACTGCATTCCAGGCATCTGAAAGGGAGGAGGGAAAAAAGGCTCACCTCCCAGCTGTGAAAGCTTCTTTTTAAGCAGCCTTCCCAGCCGTCCCACGTAACGCTTCTGCAAACATCTCTAACCAGAACTTGGTCACAGAGCCTTGCTTGCCACAAGAGAGGCTGAGATGGAGTCTTTAGCTGGGTGAATTGCCATCCTGAGTAAAACGTGGGTTCTGTTTCTGAAAGGGATCAATGGATTTTGGCTGGGTCACTGGTTTTCTCTACCCTGTAGGAGACGTGAGTTTTAAATTTAAAAAGATTATTATCAAATTGTGAAGCTCTTTGCCAGAGGAGATTCCTTCCAGCAGCCCATCAAAACACTGGTTCCGTAAGCCCACTGCCGTCGAGTGCCATGGCTTCTCTTCCTCGGGGGTATATGCCACAACCCCCAGTGGATGCCTGAAACTGGGGTAGTGCTGAACCCTATGCAGCATGTACTATACTTCTTCCTACACACACACATCTATGATAAAGTTAATTTGTGGCCGGGCGTGGTGGTTCACGCCTGTAATCCCAGCACTTTGAGAGGCTGAGGCAGGTGGAACTCCTGAGGTCGGGAGTTCGCCACTAGCCTGGCCAACATGGTGAAACCTCGTCTCTATTAAAATACAAAAAAATTAGTCGGGTGTGGTGGCAGGTGCCTGTAATCCCAGCTACGGGTGGCTGAGGCAGGAGAATTGCTTGACCTGGGAGGCAGAGGTTGCCGAGAACACACCATTGCACTCCAGCCTGGGAAATAAGAACGAAACTCCATCTCAAAAAAAAAAAAAAAAAAAAAAAAAGTTAATTTGTAAATTAGGCATAGCAGCAATTAACAATAACTAAGAATTGGGTAATTGTAACAATATACTATAATAAAAGTTATGTGACTGTGATCTCTCTCTCAAAGTATCTTATTGTACTGTACTGAGCATAAGAAATGGCAGAAATCAAAACCATGGATAAGGAGGGATGACTAAGGTTGCAGAATCAAGTCCCTTCTGGCCCCAGAGCTTATGCTCACAGGTTCAAAGATGCGTGATGTCAAACAGCCCTATGGCAAAACATCTCACCTGATCATGAGGTCAAGGGTTCGAGACCAGCCTGACCAACATGGTGAAACCCTGTCTCTAAAAACAAAAACCAAAAATTAGCTGGGAGTGGTGACACACACCTGTAATTCCAGCTACTCCGGAGGCTGAGGCAGGAAAATCACTTGAACCTGGGAAGCAGAGGTTGCAGTGAGCCAAAATCGTGCCACTGTACTCCAGCCTGAGCGACAGATTAATACTCTGTCTCAAAAAAAGAAAAAAGAAAAAAAAATACATCTTTTAAAGAATCGAAGTTAGTCTTATTTAGTAGCATTATTGAGGGCTATAGACAGACCTACAGCGTGGGGACAGTTTTGTCACGTGGCTCCTAAAGGGTTTCTGCTCATTGTTTGTATTTGGTGGTGGGGGTTTAGCGTGTGCAAAATCCTGCTGAACCTGTTTAGAGGTTGTATTCAAGCAGATTATATCAAGGTTGGGGTGTAAGACTTTGTCTCACACATCTATGTCTTGCTTATTTCCAGACAAACTGGGAAGATTGAGCCGGTGGTCCTGCCGCTGCTCTGGTTTGCAGAGGTAAGGGTGTGTTGGGCACGGGATCAGGAGCTTTTCTTAGGAGCCAGTGTGGGCCTTTGAGGCGGGGTGGGGAGCAGCTTGTAGAAGGGGAGAGGGCTGAGGCAGGGTAACCGGAATGTGACATGGACCGGCCTATCAGAAACCTCACACCGTCCAAGCGCCCTATGTCAGTTATCCCACCGAGTTGAAAGGGATCCCTTGCGATGGGGAAGACAGAAGCTCATGAAGCAGTAAAGTCCCTGACCCTGGGTATAAAGAGGCATGTGACCTCCTCTCCTGAGAGAAAGGGATTTGGTTTCCAAGGTATCAGCTTTTCACTGAAACTTACTTCTCTCCTAGCTTTTCAGAATTCCTTCTGGCCTAGCCTATTTTATTTTCTGTATTGTTTCTTGCCTACCTCATTTTAAATCAGGCTGAGCTAATGGCCAGGATAGACAAGCCTCCGAATGTCAAGTTCACTCCCTGCTCACAGCCCAATCTGAAGGGGGTGGACTGGGAGGCAGAACTCTGTTCCCTGCAGTAATTCAGGGCTCCAGGATCCTTTCCGTCTGGGGGCCCCGCCCTCCTGTGATCGTCCATTCAGTGGTGGGGAGATGGAGAGTCACCTGAGGCCAGGCCCACCTCCCGTTGGTCAGGACAGGATCACATGGCCCTGACCAACTGCAAGGGGGTCTGGGAATTGTAGTCTTAACCTTGTGTCCTGGAGGGAGGAGGTCCCTGGCTGGCTCCAACACAGGCTTTAGCTGGGTAGCTTGAAATGGGGAAGGGCTGAGGCGGGCACAGAGGAAGGTGTTGGGTGGCATTTGCAATGTAGCCCACAGCCTGTGGCCCCAGATCATGTGTTTGTCATTCTGCCTCCTCAGAGCGGGGCCATGGAAGGGGACACACTGCACACGTTCTACACCCAGCTGGTGTTGGTGCCCAAGGTGATGCACTATGCCCAGTACGTGCTCCTGGCACTGGGCTGCATCCTGCTGCTGGTCCCTGTCATCTACCAAATCCGGAGCCAAGTAGGTGCTGGCCAGAGCGTGGCCCTGGCTGACAGCCATTTGCTTGCTTGCTGGGGGAGAGGGGCTCAGGTCAGACCCCCTGGCCAACCGCGACCTGGAGCCCACCTCCAGCAGCGGTCCTGCGCCTCTGCCAGAGTGGGAGTGGTCACTGCTGGGGGCTGCACTGCACGCTTGTGTCTTTTGCATGCTGCATTGCCACTACTCTGCCTGTTCTGGAAGGCCCGGGACCCCCTCTTGAAGGGGTTGCAGGTGGACTTTGAGTAATGAGACCTGGTACTTGCATCATTCATTCATCAAGTCAGCACCCGGGGATGCCAGGCTCCGGTAGGGGCAAGGGGACAGCACTGGAGGAGACAGCTGAGGTCCCTGCCCTGGGTGATTGAGAGGGGATGGCATTCTAGCTGGGAGAAAGATGAAAACGAAGCAAATCAGCAGAAAAGATAATTTCACCATGATAGGAAATGCGAAGGGCTACAGCCATGACATCAAATAGAAATGCAGCATGAGGCCAGGTGCGATGGCTCCCGCCTGTAATCTCAGCACTTTGGGAGGCTGAGGCGGGCGGATCATGAAGTCAGGAGATGGAGACCATCCTGACCAACATGGCAAAACCCCATCTCTCCTAAAATACAAAGAATTAGCCAGGCATGGTGGCTCGCACCTGTAATCCCAGCTACTCGGGAGGCCGAGGCAGGGAAATTGCTTGAATTGGGGAAGCGGAGGTTGCAGTGAGCCAAGATCACACCACCGCTCTCCAGCCTGGTGACAGAGCAAGAGTCCGTCTCAAAAAAAAAAAAAAAAAATACACTCATGAGCCACGTGTGAGGTTTTCAGTTTAAATTTTCTAATAGCCACTTAACAGCCAAAGGAAACAGGTGAAATTAATTTTATTTAACCCAAATATATCCAAAGTCTTATCACTTCAATACGTAATCAGTGTAAAAGATGTCAATATTTTTGCAGTGTTTTTCTTTTTTTGCATGAAGTCTTTGCAATCCTGTGTGTGTTACACACGTGCAGCAGGTCTCAATTTGGACAGGTCCCATTTCAAGGGATCACCAGCCTTAAGCAGCTTTCAGACTGGACAGTGCATGTCTGGGGCACGTGGGGACAAGGACAGATAGAGCTTCAGGAAGGCCTCTAGGAAGAGGTAGATAGTGAGCTTTGATGTGGAGGCCAGGGAGGCACTCGGCACAGAGCCACAGGAGGAATGCTGCCAGGAGCGGCCAGTGCAAAGGCCCTGGGGCAGGGATGGGCAAGGCAAGTCAGAGGATCAGGCAGGGCCAGGGTGGCTGGCGGGGAGTGACGGCAGGGACGGAGGTAGGAGGTGGTGTCTGAAAGTAGGCAGGCCAGGCCTCCCGAGGCCTTGTGGTGCAGAGTGAGCAGTTTGGAACTGATTCTAGGGGTGACACAGCCCTTGGAGCCTTTTAAAGAGGGGAATCACTAGGTCAGCTGCTGGCTGGGTACAGGCTCTGGGGCTGGGACAGGTAGAAGCCTGGGCTCAGTGGGGAGGCCCCAGCTGGTGAGAAAGTCAGTGGCTTGAACAGGATGGGGCAGCTGCCATCAGGAGGGAATGGAAGTGGGGAAGAGCTTCAGACCTTCAGACGCAGGAGGAAGAGGGGTGACAACAGTGGCCCTCCTTGCTTTGGGGTCATTTATGTATTCACTGATGGCATTCACTGCCAGGCGCTTTGCACAGGTCAGGGGATACAGAAATGACCAGAACATGAGGTCTGCCGCAAAGATGGGCAAGCCGGGCCTTTAGGCAAGCTACCCGGTGACACAAAGGCCAGGAGAGCATCACAGAGCTCAAGGGGCAGTGGAGACAGGGGACCGGCTGCCGTGGTAAGGGAAGGGATGCCGCCCCCTGGCAGGGCATCGGGAAGGGCTGTTTTTGGATGCAGACCAGAAAGCCACCCTCTGAGGTGGCCCCCACCTGCGTTGTCCCGGGGCCACAGGCTACGGCCTTCCGAGGGGCCCTGGGGCCACCCCACTGCCCTGCTGGTCTCGGCTCCTCTGCCGCACTTGCTTCTCTAGCTCTGGTGAACGATTCTCCTCTACCCTTTCTCGGGAGGCTCACGTGCTTCCATGCTTGCGTGCTGGGTGAGAATAACGCGTTCTTGGTTCTTCACCTTGGCTTTCAGACCTGAAACCCAACTTTCCTTCCAAATTCCTGTCCTCGGGCGGAGAAGGTTTCCATGGTGCGAGGTGGTGACCTGGACACCAGCTGTCACCACGTTGCTCCTCTAGGGTTTGAGCTCCCGATGAACAGTGACCGTTGGGTCCCACCAGCCCTTTTGGGTTCCCCCTTCTCTGTTACTGCCCACCGGGGGGAGCCAGGACCCAGCAGGGCTGTGACTTCAGCAAGCAGAAGGGAACTCCTTCCAGTTTCTAGACTGAATTATGTAGGGAGGAGAGAAGGAATCAGAACCCACGCTCCCAGATCGTAAATACCTTCCCGTGGCAGAGCATCACATGGGTGTCCACAGGCAAGGATGCACAGCCACACAAGGGGGTCCCTGGGGACTGGCTGAGGGGCTGGGCCAGGAGAGGCCACAATGGCCTCATCCCTCTGTCCCCTTCTGTCTCTCTCCAAATCGTCCATCAGAATGGGGACAGGGAAGGAGGGTTAGGAAGCACAGGATCTCTAGGATCGGGCTGGGATCCCTTTCCCTGCCGCATCCCCCAAATCAGCGTCCCAGCCTCAAATCCAGTACGAATGCCACGATCAGCAGTGTGGCCCCCGTCCCTGCAGGTTTTATTGGAGGCCACGTAAGTGAAATTTATCCCGTTACGTGTGTTTTGATTTAGCAGGGCCTTACTTATCAGTTTTTATGTAATTTGCCCTGATTGTTTAAAAAATCACATGCTGGTAAACTCAGCATATTTTAATTTCTCTTTAGAGAATTTTTTCTTCTTGAGTCAGGTATGGTGGCTCTTGCCTATAATCCCAGCTACTCGGGAGGCTGAGGCAGGAGGATCTCTTGAGCCCAGGAATTGGAGGCTGCAGTGAGCCGTTGCTCCGTTGCACTCCAGCCTGACAACAGAGTAAGACCTTGTCTCAAAAACTAAAAAAAGAAAGAAATGTTTCTTCTCAAGTCATTCTTAAAAAAAAAAAAAAAATCAAAAGCATTTTAACAGAACAGTCTGTTGGTTGTAAACAGCCCCAGCTCAGTCCACTGGCTGTCGGCCTCCGGGGCGTGTCTCCCCACCCTGCTTCCTCACTGGGTCACCTTTTCAAGTGGCCGAGCCCTTTTCAGCTAGGCTTGTCCGCCTCCCAGGTGAGTTTCCCAAAAATGCTTGCACTCCGTCTAACAGCAGCGGCTGCCCACCTCTCCACCCCTGCAGGCGTTGAGGGTTGTTGAACTCTAAACCTCTGTACCTCTCCTGTTTACTCTTTGCCTTTTCAAATCAAAGAACCATGTACGACCTTTTTCATGTGGCTTCAACGTCAACTATAAATTAGCTTGGTTATCTTCTAGGAGAAATGCTATTTATTTTGGAGTAGTAGTAAAAAGGGCTCAAAGGATAAGGAGGCCATTCAGGCCTATTCTGAATCCCTGATGACATCAGCTCCCAAGGGCTCTGTGCTGCAGGAAGCCAAACTGTAGGTGGGTACCAGGTAACGCCATGCGCCTCCCCGCCCCTTCCCACCTCAAGTAGAATGCTGGCGGCTTCAAACACTTGGGGTCCTGCTCATTCCTTCAGCCTCGACTTCACCGGGAGTATGTACAGACGGAAGATGCCTATTTGTGTATTTCACTTTTGGAGAAACTACTGCCTCCTGTTCTGAGTGAATAGCAGTTTCTTTGATTCCAGAGGGGAGCTGGTGTTCCGCGGGCGGGTGCCTGTTTGCAAGGTCATATTAGGAAGGCAAGAGCAAGTCTTAGGCCTGCTGCTTCTCAAATCTCTGTGCAGTAGACTGTCCTGGGGAAGTTTGCTAGAATGCAGATCCCTGGGCTGTCTTCTAGCCTCCTGGTATAGAATCGTGGTAGAATCTGTATTTTAATGGGCCCTAATGAGATTCTGATGTCAAAGCTATGTTTGAGAAACACTGATCTGAATCTGGGATGACTGGCTGGGTGTGGAGGCTCACATCTGTAATCCAGTACTTTGGGAGGCTGAAGCGGGTGGATCATTTGAGGTCAGGAGTTCGAGACTAGCCTGGCTGACATGGCGAAACCCTGTCTCTAGTAAAAATACCAAAAAAAAAAAAAGGCCAGGCATGGTGGCTCATGCCTGTAATCCCTGCACTTTCGGAGGTCGAGGCAGGTGAATCATGAGGTCTGGAGTTTAAGACCAGCCTGGCCAACATGGTGAAACCCCGTCTCTACTAAAAATATGAAAATTAGCTGGACGTGGTGGTGTGTACCTATAGTCCCAGCTACTCAGGAAGCTGAGGCAGGAGAATCACTTGAACCCGGGAGGTGGAGGTTGGACTGAGCCAAGATCACAGCCACTGCACTCCAGCCTAGGCGACAGAGCGAGACTCCATCTAAAAATAAATAAATAAATAAAAATACAAAGAAATGAGCCAGGTGTGGTGGTGCACACCTGTAATCCCAGCTACTCAGGAAGCCAAGGCAGGAGAATTGCTTGAACCCAGCAGATGGAGGTTGTGGTGAGTCAAGCTTGTGCCACTGCATGCCAGCCTGGGTGACAGAGCGAGACTCCATCTCCAAAAAATAAAAATAAAATAAAATAATAACTAACTAACTAAATAAATCTGGGATGACTGGCCAAGAACAAAGAATGTAGGCATCAGTTGAACACCAACTGTATACTTGGGACTGGATCTGAGGGTATGTTTGCCGGATTGAGCACAAACAGAGAAACACAAGAGCCACAGAAGGGTGTCTGTTAAAGATGAACTTCCGGTAAGCAGTGAATTATTATTATTATTATTATTTTTGGAGATGGAATTTTGCTCTCGTTGCCTAGGCAGGAGTGCAATGGCGCGATCTTAGCTCACTGCAACCCCCACCTCTCAGGTTCAAGTGATTCTCCTGCTTCAGCCTCCTGAGAAGCTGGGATTACAGGCATGTGCCACCATGCCTGGCTGGTTTTGTATTTTTAGTGGAGATGGGGTTTTCTCCATGTTGGTCAGGCTGGTCTCGAACTCCCGACCTCAGGTGATCCACCCACCTTGGCCTCCCAGAGTGCTGGGATCACAGGCATGAGCCACCGCGCCTGGCTGTGGTGAATACTTTTTATTCGTGTGATGATAGGACACACGCCTACTGGAAACCCATCTGTGGTTCACCTGAAATTCACATTGAACCAGGCGTCTTGATTTTCTGTGGCAGCCGTATCTGTCGGGGAGTAGGCTTCTGCCCCTGGGGGGGTCTCCATTTCCTTGGCCAGGCTCTGTAGGGCTGTGGTCTTGGGAGAGCCGTGGCCGGGGACGGCATCCTTGCCAGGGGAGGTGACGGGCAGAGCCACAGGCCCTACAACTTAGGCTTGGGCAGGGGTGAGTCACTCTACAGTGGTGCCTCTGATAATAGCTGTTATTTTAGTTTTTGAAAAATGTGCTGCCCTCGAGGCTTCTGAGGCTGGGCCTACTTGTGTGAAAAGAGCTTTCCAGGGAGCTGCATTGTAGGGACACAAGACACCAGCCCGCTCTTTGGGGCCAGTTGGCTGCCTCCAGCTCATCTCACTTGCCAGGGCTGGGCAAGGAAACCAAAAGGAAGATGCCAAGGAGTGGGCGTTGGCAGGCGCTGCCAGCCTGTGTCCCAGTCAAGCTCTGGGGGGCCCTTCCTGCCCATCTGGGAGTAGGGGGCAGGGGAGTGTTCATATCAGGAGAGAACCCTTCCCGGGACAGGGTCCCCAGGCCCCTCTTCCCTTCCTCCCTCCCAGGATTCCTCCAGGACACTGTGTGCTGAGCACGGTGTGGCCCCATTGGTGCCCCCGCTCCTTCCAGATTCTGCTCCCTTCTGTAGAAACTTGCTTGGGATTCTCAGGGTGCAGGGGTGGGGCCCGTCCGCTGTAGAGCTGGGAGTTTTTCAGTCTCAGCACAGATGGAGTGGCCAGGGCCCCATGGCTGCACCTCCCTGGACGTTACCAGGATGGCCTGTCATCTGCCCCGCAAACAAAACTGGGGTCTCCTCTTTATTTTGCCAACAGAATCCAATTTTTAGGTGATTAAACAAGTGTTTGACTTGAAAAGACTCTCCTACCCTGCCTTCTGGAAGGTCTCAGGCCCAGCACTCTAGACCCCCTAGGCACGGGTAACGGGGGGTGCCCAGCCCAGTACTCTGACCCCCTAGGCATGGGTAACGGGGGGTGCCCAGCCCAGTACTCTGACCCCCTAGGCACGGGTAACGGGGGGTGCCCAGCCCAGTATTCTGACCCCCTAGGCACGGGTAACGGGGGGTGCCCAGCCCAGTACCCTGACCCCCTAGGCATGGGTAATGGGGGGTGTCCAGCCCAGCACCCTGATCCCCTAGGCACGGGTAACGGGGGGTGCCCAGCCCAGTACCTTGACCCCCTAGGCACGGGTAACGGGGGATGCCCAGCCCAGCACCCCGATCCCCTAGGCATGGATAATAGAGGGGTGCCCAGACCAGCACCCCGATCCCCTGGGCATGGGTAATGGGGGATACAGTGTCCACCAGTGGTCGGCTTCAGCTTGGGGTGGGTCCCTGGGTGGTGACCCGTGGTCCCCCTGCAGGCCACTGCTGCCCCCTCTTGGGTCCTGTTCTGAGTCTCAGACCTGAGTTCCTGGGCCCCATACCTTGCCCTGTACCTGGATGTGGGGATGGCGCTGAGGGGCTGCCTTGCTTGGGAGAAGGGGCGAAAAGGATGTTTTTATATAAATAAGGAAAGACAGTCCCTCTGGGCCGACGAGGCCCGCTGTAGGCCGGGGGATTGGTAAACAGTGTGTCCACTGGTCTATAGCCCTTCAGCGGGGTGCTTTTGTGCAGTGAACAGCCTGCACAACTGTCCAGGTGCCCTTTCAGGGAGATGATCCTGGACCTTTCTTAGCTTCTCACTGACCTTTCTCCCACTTGAAGTCCGTGTTCCTCAGTGAAACAGAAGTGGCAGGGAGGAGGAGATAGAGGAGGAGGAGGTGGAGGAGGGTGATGGGGTGGAGGGGGGAGGGGATGATGGCGAGGATGGGGAGAAGGGGGAGCAGGAGGGGGAGGAGGAGGAAGAGGAACCTGCTTCCCCCTCTGGCCCTGGAGGCTTTGTTCTATGTGTCTTCCTGCGGAAAGACCAGGGTCTCTCTGACAGCTTGGGGGTGGTTTCCCCTTTCTACTTTTGAGTGAGACTTTCTCAAGTCACGGCTCTTTGGGCCCACATGGCTGAGGTCTAGCCACCCACGGGCATCCTGTGCTGCCCCAGTTGGTGATGTGGGGGCAGTGCTGGCCTCCCTGCTGCCTGGCTCAGTGCCCCAGGCCCTGCCCTCATGCCCGAGGTCTGCCCCAAGCGGGAGTTTGATTTTCCTACCCTGTAGTGAAGCCAGCACAGGTGGGTGGGGGGTTTCCTGCCGCAGGCACGAGGGCAGGGCGGCCTCCGTTGCCCCGGACAAGGGAGGCAGGGGCTTAGCAGGATGAAGCCTCGCCTGACATGCTTATCATCAGCATTATCCGTACTTCTAACTTTTTTTAAGTTGAGAAATTTTCTACAAGTGTCTAACTAGACAAATGACAGTATCCAGGTCCCCTCACCCAGGCCCAGCCGCTGCTCCCAGCTGTCAGTGTTGAAGATTGTCAGCATTTCACGTCCATGGTTTCACTCGTTCCCCGCGTGGCCCTCGTCCCTCCCCACGTCCCACCTCGCCCTGCGCCCCCCGAGCATCCATGGCCAGGAATTTGGCATGTGGATTTGTTTTCTCTGAATCTGCACGATCGGTTTTTGAGTGTGACCAAAGCTGTGTCCCGCCGCTTGTATTGCTGTGTGGCTGGCTTTCCGCTCTCTGTTTTCTGTTCACGAGTGCTGTTCAGGCTGAATACTGTCCTGTGATGTTGGTTTCAAAGTGCAGGCCGGGTGTGGTAGCTCATGCCTGTAATCCCAGCACTTTGGGAGGCTGAGGTGAGAGGATCGCTTGAGCCCAGGAGTTCAAGACCAGCCTGGGCAACATAGTGAGACCTGATCTCCACCAAAAATGAAACAATTAGCCGAGCGTGGTGGTGGCACATGTCATTGTCCTAGCCACTTGGGAGGCTGCAGGGGGAGGATCACTCGAGCGCAGGAGTTCAAGGCCCTGCGGCCCGGGTGGCAGAGAGGGAGCCCATCTCTAAAAAAATAAAACATAAATCAATACATAAACGTGTGTTCTCCTCCTGAGGGAAGAGGTCGCCCAGTTGTCCCGTGCTGACTGCCGCACACAGCCCCCCTGCTGTGCCCCTCACTGTTTTAAGTCTCTTCGGGCCTCAGTTTCTTCATCTCTAAAGGAGGTGGGAGAGGCCAGGCGGGTGCTGAGTGAGATGAAGAGGCCCTTGTGGGGGACATTCCAGGACTCTGGGTTACTCCAGCCTCTTCTCACCTCTGACAGCCTGGTGTCGGGGGTGGTGTCTGTGCTGGGGATGTGGGCACGGGGCCGGGGCGGGGACGAGGGTGGGGTTTGGTGACGGGGCATGGGTGATCACCCAGCTTTGCCTCTCTCCACAGGCTCCTGAGGACACCATGAGCCAGCCAGGCCTGGCCGCTGGGCCTGACCGGCCCCCCAGCCCCTACACCCCGCTTCTCCTAGACTCTCCCAGCGGACAGCCCCCCAGCCCCACAGCCTGAGCCTCCCTGTGGCCCGCGCCTGTTGGACACCCGCACACATGCTGGCACACGCACACGCACACGCGCGTGCAGACACACTCAGGGACGGAGCTGCTGCTGAAGGGACTCGCAGGGAGAGGTGCGTCGACAAGCACCGTTCTGGAACCTTCTCTCCATGTGGCCCACAGGCCTGACCACAGGGGCTGTGGATGCCGCGTCCCCTTCCTTGGGTGAGCCTGGCCTGTCCCGTTCAGCCGCTGGGCCCAGGCTTCCTTCCCTTCAGGGTGAACACTGCCCCACGCAGGTGGGCCAGGCTGGGAGTGCCGGCTTCCTGTGCCAAATTCAGTGGGACTCGGGCCCTGGCCGGGAGCTCTGGCCTTGGTCCACCTGCCCTGCCAGGTGAAGCACCTTCACCCAGGCCTCTGAAAACAACAGGGTGAGCACAAGGTGCCCCACGCAGCTGCCCAGGGGTTCCCACCCACCCTGGCCGGACTTCGGTCTCCCCGACGTCTGCACAGGCACGGCAGCGGGTGTCTGGCGTCCTTTGCCTCCAGCCTATACTGACATCATCCTATGGACTAAGCCGACCACTCCCTGGCTGAAGTGGCAGTGGGCTGTGCCCCCAAGATGCCCCCACCCCCGCACAGAGTCCCTCAGATTTTAGGTGCCCAGGTCGAGGTGGAGAGGCTGGGGGCCCTGCCTGCCAGGTGCTCCTGGACCCTGAGGGAAGCCTGTGACCCTTTTCTACTGGAAGAGAAATGAGTTTTATCGTCTTTGAAAAATAATTCACTATTGAAGTAATAAACCTTTAAAAAAAACGGGACGCTCGCCTCTGTGACAGCCTTGTCCGCTGGGGTCTGCGTGGGGTGGTCTCTGGGAGGTTGTGGGCTCTCCTTGGTCAATAGCTCCTTCCTGGGGGCTGCCAAAAGCATCTCTCCCAGGGCCAGGCTGCTGGCTTCCCTTCCTGTTGTTCTTACATTTCAACCTCGTGCAATTTCAAGTTTCGTATCAATTCTGCATGACTCCGTCCTGGTTTCGAAGCAGCAGGGTCTGCGTCTCCCTCCCACCCCCGACCAGGCCCGCAGCTCCCGGTGCCTTTGCCACTTTGGCACGGGGCGTCTGGATGTGTTTCTGCGCATTTATCTACACATCCTGGAACCCGCGGGGCACGCCCCGGGCTGTTCTAGGCCTTTGCTTTTTGCTTGTTACGTAAATGGTGAAGAAGAGAAGCGGGTAAGAGAACAGATCGGACCTGTTTTCTCCTATTGCCATCGTCATTGCTGATTTAATATGAGCCCGTTTCATCACTATTTAAATGTACCCACTGGGATCTAACTAGGACAGCGAGAGGGTATTCACTGCCAAACGTTTAAAAGAGCACACCGACAAGCTCCTTTATGGCAGAAACATTATGCCCCTTTTCCCTTGAACTGGTATTTCCTTTCTTCTTCCTCCTAAAATTTTATCTAAATTATATATATATATATGAAATATGAAATATATACATGAAATATATATATGAAAAAAAAATATATATATGCTGCTTTTAAACCTTTTATTGATCACTCGTGTACTTGTCTGCAACCTAAACTTTTTTTGTTTTATTTCTTGTGACCATCAAGGGTAAGTTTTTTTGGTCTGGGGCTGCCATAACAAACTTCCCGTCAAGGCTGGGCATGGTGGTGCATGCCTGTAATCCCAGCACTGTAAGAGGCCAAGGTGGGAGGATTGCTTGAGGCCAGGAATTCAACACTAGCCTGGATGATAGGGCAAGACCCTCATCTCTACCAAAAAAAAAAAAAAAAAAAAAAAAAAAAGATATGAAAATCAGCCAGGCATGGTGGGCACTCACCTGTGGTCCCAGCTACTCTGAAGGCTGAGGTAGGAGGATTGCTTGAGGCCAGGAGGTTGAGGCTGCAGTGAGCTGTGATCGTGTGCCATTGCACTCCAGCCTGTGAGACAGAGCGGGACACTGTCTCAAAAAGAAAAAATACCATCAACAGGTGGCTTAAACCATTTATTTCTCACAGCTCTGGAGGCTGGAAGTCTGACCAGAGTGCCAGCAGGGTTGAGTTCTGGTGAGGCCTTTTCCTGGCTTGCAGACGGCCGCCGTCCGTCTCCTCACATGGCCTCTCCTCGGTGTGGAGTGGGAAAGAGAGAGGGAGCGCGAGAGCTCTGTGGTATCTCTTCTTTTCGTTTTTGAGATGGAGTCTTGCTCTGTCACCTGGGCTGGAGTGCAGTGGCATGGTCTTGGCTCCCTGCAACCTCTGCCTCCTGGGTTCAAGTGATTCTCCTTCTCAGCCTCCTGAGTAGCTGGGTGGGATTATAGGCACCCGCCACCATGCCTGGCTAATTTTTTTATTTTTAGTAGAGATGGGGTTTCACCACGTTAGCCAGGCTGGTCTCGAACTCCTGACCTTGTGATCCACCCGCCTCAACCTCCCAAAGTTCTGGGATTAAAGGTGTGAGCCACTGCACCCGGCCGGTGTCTCTTCCTCTGAGGACACTGATCCTATCAGATCAGGGCCTCATTTAACCTTAATTATTTTCTTGCAGACCCCGTCTCCAGACACAGCCATACTAGGGGTTAGGGCTTCAATACAGGAATTTTGGGTCAACAAAACATTTAGTCTATGCCATGGGGATTGCCTTTCAACTCTCAGGACACAATCGATCAAAACTGTATCACTATGTTTTATGTTACATATCAAAGAAGCAAAATTTTACGGGGATGCATGTCCTTTTGGTATCAATTTTATATATTTTGTCATTTACAGATTAGAGGGGGGTGTGTGTATGTACAATTCCATGAATTGTGACATGTGGATAGAGTTGAGTCATCACCCCTTCAATCAAGACACAAAACAATTTCGTTATCCCCCAAGATTTCCTCATGCCTTCTCTCTCTTTTTTTGTTTTACAGTGGACTGCCATAATTTTTTTTTTTAGACAGGTCTCACTCTGTTGCCCAGGCTGGAGTGTCACGGTTCGATCTTGGCTCACTGCAGCCTTAAACTCCCAGGCTCAACAGAAGCCTCCTGACTTAACCTCCCGAGTAGCTGGGACCACAGGTGTGTGCCATCACACATGGCTAATTTTTTAGTTTTATGTAGAGATGGGCGTCTGGCTGTGTTGCCCAGGCTGGTCTCGAACTTTTGGCTTCAAGTATTACCCCCACTTCCACCTCCCAAAGTGCAGGATTATAGGCGTGAGCCGCTGCACCCAGCTTGTGTCCTGCGCTGCGTTCCCCTCGCTTTGTAGGGAAGCCCTCACCCCTATGTTTAGCCCTTGGCCACTGGCTATTTTTACCTTTTCCAGCATGTTCTAAATGGTGTCTACAGCCTGTTGCCCTCTGAGCCTGGCTTCTTTCACTCAGCACCTTCTCTGGATGCAAGCCTGTTGTTCTGTGTAGCAATAGATCATTTCTTTTCCCTGCCGAGCAGAACTCTATGGAGTGCACACACCGCTGTTTTTCGGCCATTCACTTATTGAGGGACATTTAGAGCGGTTCCAGCCTTTGGCAATGGTGTTAGTCCGTTTTCACGCTGCTGATAGAGACATAGTCAAGACCGGGTCAGTTTTAAAGAAGAAAGGTTTAATGAACTCACCGTTCCGCGTGGCTGGGGAGGCCTCATATGGCAGAAGGCAGAGGAGAAGCAAAGCCATGTCTTACGTGGCAACAGAGGAGAGAATGGAGCTAAGCGAAAGGGGAAACCCCGTATCAAACCGTCAGATCCTGTGAGACTTATTCACAACCATGAGAACAGTATGGGGGAAACCGCCCCCCTGATTCAGTCACCGCCCACTGGCTCCCTCCCACAACGCATGGGAATTATGGGAGCTACAATTCGAGCTGAGATTTGGGTGGGGACACAGCCACAGCATATCAGCACCTATGACCAAGGATGCTGTGAACGTTCACGTAGAGGTTTGGGTGTGAGCGCACGCGTTCCCTTCCCTTGGGTGTATTCCCAGGACTGGGGCTGCTGAGTCACACCGGAGCTCTGCGTTTCAGTTCCTGGGGGCCTGCCAGTTTCACCGTTGCTGTGCCGGGCTGCTTTCCCACCAGCTCTGCGTCCTCGCCAGCACCTTGGGATTTTCCGTTTTGAAAAGCTGCAGCCTTTCGTAGTGGTTTCTCACTGTGGCTTTTATTTGCTTAGAAATACATCGTATCATGAGATGAGTGGGACTTCCCACCCCCAATCAATTCGTGTATTCGTGAACAACTGTCACATATCGCTAGAATGAGACCAATTTTTGCCATCAATTCTTTGCTGCTGTAAGTGCAGAGAAGCCTTGTTTGCATGAAGTCGCTTGGAGTGGAATTCTTATACTCCTCTGGATAGAATGTCACAGGGCGATCTGTCACCGGAAGCGATTTTTCACTGATCTCCCAGCTGACAGGTCCGGTTGACCTTTCTCCAGATTTGTAGAAAGCAGCAAAGTGGAAACCGTTGGCTTGCACAAGCCTGTCTTACCCAATCTTCAGATGGCTTCCCAAAACCCACGTCCGGGGATGTCCCTCTGATTGGGGCTGGAGGTCAGGGAGGCTCTGCCTGTGGGCTGAAGAGTGGAGGGGTGGGGGGTCTTGTGGCCTGGCCGGGGGACTGGCTGGTGAGTGACAAGCTCAGGGGAGAGTCCCGGGCCCAGAGGATGGTTCCCATCAAACCCCCCATGTCTGATCCTTTGAGAAGCTGAGCCCAGCTTTGGTTACCTGATAGCCACAGTGAGGATTTTGACTTAATCTGCGTATGTAACACATCACACACCTAACTCTTGCATCCAGGTCTACCTGCTCATAAAACAGAAGAAAAGACAGTCCCAAGAAGTCATTCCTTTTTTTTTTTTTTGGAGAGAGGGCCTCACTCTGTCACCGAGGCTGGCATAATCACGGCTCACTGCAGCCTCGACCTCCTAGGCTCGGGTGATCCTCTCACCTCAGCCTCCCAAGTAGCTGGGATTATAGGCCTGTGCCACGACACCCGGCTAATTTTTCTGTATTTTTCTGTAGAGATGGGGTTTTGCCATGCTGCCCAGGCTGATCTCCAACTCCCAGGCTGAAGTGATCTGTAATAGGTTTGAGCCACGGTGCTGGCCATTCATTCATTCTTGTGTGTGGTGTGTGTGTGTGGTGTCTGTGGTGTGTGATGTGTGTGTGTGGTGTGCGTGTGGTGTCTGTGGTGTGTGTGTGTGGTTGTGTGGTATCTATGGTGCATAGTGTGTGTGTGGTGTGTGGTGTGTGTGGTGTGTGGTGTGTGTGGTGTGTGTATGGTGTGTGTGGTGTGTGGTGTGTGTGGTGTGTGTATGTGTGGTGTGTGGTGTGTGTGGTGTGTGTGTGGTGGGTGTATGTGTGGTGGGTGTGGTGTGTATGTGTGGTGTGTTGTGTATGTGTGGTGTGTGTGTGGTGTGTGTGTGGGGTGTATGTGGTGTGTGGTGTGTGGTGTGCGTGGTATGTGGGTGTGTGGTGTGTGGGTGTGTGGTGTGTGTGTGTGCTGTATGTGTGGTGTGTGTGTGGTGTGTGGTGTATGTGTGGTGTGTGGTGTATGTGTGGTGTGTGGTGTATGTGTGGTGTGTGTGTGGTGTGTGGTGTATGTGTGGTGTATGTGTGGTGTCTGTGTGGTGTGTGGTGTGTGTGTGGTGTGTGGTGTATGTGTGGTGTGTATGTGAGGTGTGTGTGTGTGGTATGTGTATGGTGTGTGGTGTGTGTATGTGTGGTGTGTGGTGTGCATGGTGTGTGTGTGGTGTGTGTTGTATGTGTGGTGTGTGTGTGGTGTGTGGTGTAGGTGTGGTGTGTGTGTGGTGTGTGGTGTAGGTGTGG